CTTTTAAGCTACGGGAAACAGTCTGTATTCGGCTGTAACACTGAGCAAAAAAAAGCACTGTAAAAATCTGTCCACTTTTCCACACCCTGACTGATCATCCATGCTCTCCAATCTCTTGACCTCCTTAAATTCTACTCACCCAACTTCATCCACTTTCCAACCCCATCCACACCAAATATCACTTAACTTATATTTATCACACCCTCCTTTCTCATTCAACTTACTGTACCTCACCTTTCTCACTCAATTTACCAGACCCTCCTTATTCACTCACTTTACCCTACTTTCTTACTCCAATTTCCACACCTTCCTTTCTCACACCACATTCTAGACTACTACATTCTTTCCCCATCCACTGTCCATACCCTTTAGTCTATTGACAAGCATAAAGGATGATGGGGTCATCAGCTAACCTAATAATGAAATCATTGACGTACGTATTGATGCGTTTCTTCAAAATCAACGTCTGAGTGTACCGGCCGTGGGTTTAGTACTATATACCGCGGGGAAACTGAAGTAGCAGGTATATATCTTGTGCAGCACCTGTTTTCGCTTCAGATTTTTGTCCAGTTCTTGTTTGACTTTGAGGAAGTGCTTTCGCCTTGAGATATGGCTGTTCGCATGTTCTCCGTACCCATGGTACCGGTTGCTTGGCGGTGAACCTATATAGCTATACTCCAATCGCGCATAACTTTCCAAATAAGGCCCGGCTTCTGTGAAATTGCAATTGACGACAACTAATTGATAATTTCACAGACCTTTTCTTGTGAGGTAAAATAACGAAACCCCTCGAACTTTTCGTCATCGGAAGAACTGTGTCTTTTAAAATCACAGTAGTTATATATACGTATGATTCATCCCACCTCGACCCCGGATCCACCTATGACGTGATTTTATTTGCTTTTTTAACCAGATAATGTAAAGTTCATAAAAAATAAAGTATGGGCCAAATGAGGGTCATATGTCAATTCATTCAAGAATCGTATAAATTACATATAATCATCCAAGTCCGTGATGTTAACTGATAATATAAATCACAATTAATGTAAAATATACTAAATATTTGACGGAACCACGGAATTCTAAGTCCGTGACGGAACCGATGAAAAACCGCACACATTGAAAATTAAGTAGATCTGTCTCGCAAACGATACCGACTATCTCCTGTTAATGTTTTATTTTACTAGGGTTCCGTCATTTGTTAGTCGGTTGGATAAGTATAATGTGACGTTTGTGAAGACGCTGTTCTTTCTATATATCAGCCTCAGAACAAAACCCTCAGCGGTAATAACCCACCTGCATTCTGGATTGAGAAATAAAAAAGCCATAAATCGAGTAGAATTGAATTTGGAGAAAATAATTTTATGAAGTAACTCTTTTAGTGAATAAAACTTGTGATCAAGACATGAAGACCCACTCATGTCAAAGGGCAAACGTGATTTTTTAGTAAAAAAAATCTTTCAACCTTGAATTATCCATCCTTAGAAAAAATAGAAGAATATAAGCGTCTTCTTCTTACAAACTACTACAATTTCGAGAAGTTTGGTGACCAATTCGAGTTAATGACCAGCAAATCAAAATCAGGTTGAAGGATTCGACCTTGAGCGACCTTGGCATGTGACAATATGACACAAACAATGAAATTGATGCAAATCTGCCGAGAGGACAGTTTAATTGGGATAAAGAATTACCTTATTGAAAAGTTCATTTTTAATACATAGACCTGGATGTCGCGCGGCAGCGTAGCGGTAAATCGTCTGTGTATCTCTTCTTTAAAGGACATGCCTAGCGATTGGCCAGGTTTTTGGTACTTGAAACTCATCAATTAGCCTACCGCGAGCCTTATATTTTGTCATGACATAAGTTGGGGTTGCAGACAGAGAGTGTGTGTATCCAGTAAGTAACGAACCATTCGATTTAGAGGATGCATTTTTTGCGGAAGAAGGGAAATAACTGTATAAGAAACAACTGGATATCAGTCAATGAAATGATTTGTAAAAACAGGCACCGTCGGTATATACTTTTACTGATTTAATGTTTGTTGTTCGTACATTTCGAGTTGATTTTGGTGGGTTATAGTAAGACACATACGTGTAGGTACATTGTGTGGGGGGGTGTATTTCGCTGGCATGTATTCAAAAATTAGTGCGTTGTGTGTGTAGGGAGCTAGGGTGTATAAATATTTTCGGATTTTGTTTAACGAAATAACAACCTTTAATCGTTCTTTTTTCTTATAGGTTGCAATTCGTTATCGCCGCTTATTATTGATAACTACGTGAAATTCAAACTATAGTCGCGCTTTTTGCTTCGTGATACCTCATCCCTAGGCCTTTCGATTGGTGTGTCCGCTGTGTCAAGCATTTATATACTTTTTTTATGCATGAATGCATGGTGATCCTGCATCAGCTAAACATATGTATACTACCTGCTACTTAATCAAAATTAACTTACGAAAGGTAACAATCGAGACAGCAGATCGATTTATTTCCTGCAATCTTCGGACCGCGATGTTCCATAAGACAGAATTAAGTCAAGGTCACAGAAGGAAAATCCCTCTATATGCCCATATAAGTCGCCTCATATGTTCACCTATGGGTATAATAATTTTCAGATGATGTTTTTTATTACAATTCGTCCATTAAAGCACGGACTTAGATAGCTTATCTAATTCTGTGATTAAAGATATTGCATCCTACATGCGGCAGCGCGATTTACCCCAAAACACCCCCAAAACACCCCAAAAAACACAAAAAAAACACCAAAAAAACACACAAAAACACCAAAAAAAACACAAATACATTTAACACTCATAGATATTTATATTTCTGCTTTCTGGCATTATGTAACATAATTATGTTTCCCGTTAATTGAATAGTTATAGCGACGCGAGTAATATCAACTATACGTATTTGAGTTACTTCCCCTGCAACAAGTTTACCTAACTAAATAAATTGATGTATATTTGAATAAATTGCTAAGTATAACGGGACGTATATATATACATGAACATTGATGTCTATTTGAATAAATTGCTAAATATAACGGGACGTATATATATATGAACATTGATGTCTATTTGAATAAATTGCTAAGTATAACGGGACGTATATATGAACATTGATGTATATTTGAATAAATTGCTAAGTATAACCGGACGTATATATATATGAACATTGATGTCTATTTGAATATATTGCTAAGTATAACGGGAAGTATATATGAACATTGATGTATATTTGAATAAATTGAATAATCAACATCGTCTTTGGCGAAGACGGAATCGTTTTCAGCAAAGATGATCTTGAGTATGAATCAAGAAAAGCAGAGCTTGAACAATATTTTGAAAAAAATCCAAAGTTTCAGCATTATTGGTTAAAGTTTCTTTAATGCAAAATCAAAGCATATGTCATGGCACCTCTTCGGGAAAAGAAAGCCAATGCTCTTTGGACCAACAACAATTCGGAGTCAATTAATAACAGATTGAAACAGGTTGCCAATTTCAAACAGCATAAATTACCTCAGCTAGTTGAAAAAATGGCCTTAGTGTCTCAAATGCAGATACTTGATTTAAGACGGGCATTACATGGAACTGGCAACTTTAGGCTAGAAGGCAAAACTACATCATTTGAGGTGGACCAGGAAATTTGGAGAGAGAAAAAAAACACAAAGAGAAAAAGACGCATATTTCAGGACCTTTTTGGCCAAAAGAAAGAATATTACCCGCGAAAGCAACTTTGCTAAGGCTTCAGGCACAGACTTATTGTGCCCAAAACCGAAGCAAAACTGTGGCAAAAAGCCACGTCAAAGGAAAAGACAAAAATCTGAAAGATCAAGAACAGTAAAAACTACCAATAGGCCAGTTCCATGAGTATTGGGTCACAAGTATCTACTGTACAGGGAATTTTGTGTTACGTCTTCATTTCATTTCCCCCATTTCTCTTATGCTACATATTAATAGATTATTGTATAGGTGAATCACAACATGATCCGCTATCTCTTCAGATATTGCTTTTCGCAAATGGACATGTTGTGTCATTCATTAGTTTAATTATATTTAATGTCATAAATTCTTCATCCCCCATTTTCCTTAGGTTATTTTATAGTGTTGTTTAAATTCCAAGTATTTAGGATATATATTTTTTCCATTATTTACGAAGATATCTCTTGGGATAAGTAAACCAGATCCGCTTAATTTGGTTTATTTTTTTCATTTTATATTATACTTGTTGATTTCGTTTTATTTTTATCATAACGTTTTCATTACACACTTCCATATAAAATTGTTTTATTTTATCAACTGATTGTTTAAAATTCTGACAACTTGTTCAAATAATATTTATTTCAACAATTCTTTTATGACAATTTCATGTTTTATGTACTGCAAATGTATTTTCACATATTTTAACAATCTTATTTTCATCGTTGTATTTGTAATCTATGTATATATATGTGTTAAAATTTGATTACCAAAATAAATGGTTATGATCAAATAATCTGACTGTAATTAGTTTTAGTTTTCATCCGTAACATCGCGATGCAAGGGAGGTAACACATATACCATACTCTCGTAATTTCGAATTGAAGGAATTGACAGTTGATGCCGAAAATCATGTTACTACATCATAATATTAACTGAATATTATTTAAGTGTCGTCTGTGGTTTTTTGTGGTCTTATCGGTGGTTTTGGGGTGTACATGAATCTACCTGCAGGTAGGCCTACTGTTAGACTCTAAATTTAAGAACTTTTAAAATTTCCTTTTAGCAAAATCAATTTTTGTATCTAGTTTGTCTTGAGAAAACTTTCACTTTCAATACTTAAAATGTATACAAAACACTTCTTATTTGACGACGTGTAACAATAAAGCTACGTTAGCCTATAGCTCAGAAAAGAACAAATCCATACGAACAGGCCCTAGGTGTCCGTAGTCACCACAACGCTTGAGTAATACTTTGGGTTTTTAGGCTTCCACCCAAACGTTTAATAGATTCCGATCTTCCCGCGAAATTGCAATCGAAGCAATACTGCCCGCCACAACATCACGATGAGTCTTTGGGTTGATAAACATCGTCCTAATTCTCTTAACAAGCTTGACTTTCACAAGGAGCAAGCGGCCCATTTAAAAAAGCTGGTTTGTATAACGCAATCAGGTATATTTTACGTCGTGATATGTATGAATTGAAAGTTACTACCATTTTGAAAGACCCATTGAAATGCATTGTCAATAGTCCAGAAGCTTTATTCAAAGTCGCATATACATGTAACATAATAACATTGGCACTGTAGTGCTATTCTTGCAACATAACATATGTAAAATTTAACAAGGATCATAGTACTTATGAATATATAAAAACAAGACAACAATTCAAATTAGATATGCCAAAAATATACAGTATATGAAATCACATTTTTGCAAAACAATTTAATAGTGAACACTTGAAAGTCACACAAGTTAAGACACTATCATAGTGTAATGTACATACATGCTAATGAAACAAAGTGTAAAAATTTACAGGATATACACTAATATAGTGTGAATTAAAAAGAGACAATGAAGTCATAGATTGAAACAGCTATAATTATGATATTGTAAAAAGTTATGATCTTTTAAATAATGCAGCTCGGGTCTAAAATAAATATCAAATATATAATAAGTATAGTCAGGTGCGTAGCTGCCACATAAGCAAATAAGCAGTTGCAGGCACATCAAAAATTCAAATATACTATTATATTTTTATTTATTTGTGTCAATTAAATGATGTGTGGTTCATTTGAAAAATATATTAAATTTAACTGAATAACCGACAGCCGACAATCAATACAACGTATCCGGAAGTTCCAACCTATAGGGTACCTGGTGCCGATTTTATTATTAGTATTTTTAAAGTTGTCAACATCGGAAATATGACTGCAAAGCCAACGGAAAACCTGCATCATCTTTGAAAAACAAGTTTATACATGACTTCTTCCAAGCACCTGTAGGTTCACATGAAACAACATCCACTTGCGACATTAACTTTGGCATCGACGAGTCTAAAATGGCTATTAGTATTAGGGCCTAGTAATGCCGGACCGACCGAACACAGTTCTGATCAGTCTGACTGTTGTTACCTGTGATATCTGGAATACAAGCGAGGCCGTTATTCGTCTTACTAAAAGTGAAGGTGGATATCGATATCCTGTCAAAAAGATGGGGAAAAGCTCACGAGTTCAAATTCCATACACGGCAACATTTTAACAAGCGATTGTCATGAAATACAACTAGGTCAACGGAGGCAGGTTGTTTTTCCGGAAAGGATGTAGTTTTGTGTATTTTTTTTCACCAATTAAAGGTCTTCTGAATAACAATTGTAGATTGATTTGTTACTAGCATTGTTGTTAAAGATTTTAGGGCGGATATATGGGCGTATAGGATCCATCTGAGTTTTACATTCACTTCGCCTGCAAATGTAATATGAAAAAGGCAAAGCCCCAAAGTCAGAAAAAAAGCCACGTATATGTAGCTTTTGCTAATCTGTGACATTATATAGGCCTTCATTTGTCCCTGTCATGAACTGATAAAGTATTTTTTTAAGAGTAGTCCTAGTCCTTTATTCAGTAGGGCTACTGGATATATATGTATACATATATCTAAACATCGATATAGGAGCTACCGTCATCTAATGTTCTGAGAAATGTTGATGATATAAAAAGGGTTTGGGGGACAACAGCAAAAAATCTGAAATTAATCTGTTCATATTGCCTCCGACATTTCAAATATCTAGTTAATTTAGATTCATCAGGAAAGAGATACGACGGAACGGATATTTTCGGGTAATTCCAACAATCGACACAATTTTGTCGGAGAGAAAAAGGAGAAAAAAGAGAGCTGTATTTCGCATTTGAAATACATTTGAATTTTTGCGATGCTTTCCAATAATAAAGTGAATGAATCAACCAAAAAATGTTGTCTGTAAATTAAATTAAAACACTCAAATATGTATCTAAAAAGCCACCAGATGGCACGATAAAAAAACATCTGGGGGGCATGCCTCCGTACCCCCCTACAATGCCTTCGCACCTTTGGTGCGACTTTCTGCATGCACATACAAAACAGCCCTGCAGATACGCGCCTGATAGTACTGAAGTATATTAAATTAAATAACAAAAGCAACAGTGAAATTAAAGAGTTGAAGTAGAAAACATTTGGTAGATTCCAAAGGGGGACAACTCACACAATATGGTGTGTGCAGATAGCACATAAGCAGACATTTTTGTTCCAGGTGCGAAGCAGCCCACAAAATGACCTATAGTTTTCAGCTTATCGAAGTTCATTTGGTAGGCTGTTCCACACCTGGGAAGCAGCAAAACGAAAAGATCTCTTACCATATGTGGAGGTGTTTACCTTTGGGATCTTTACCAGGTTATCTTGTCTCAGGTTGTAAAAAACTTATTTCCTCTCCACAAGCTTTTGTAAAATTGATAGAGAAATATCATTTAAAATTTTAAAAACATCTGGAACTATGTAAAGCTGATTACAGTTACTGAGTTAGCATATCTGGTAATCAGTGTCTAACTCTAAGGTCTGAAGTGAAATTGTCATTTAATTTCATTTACTCAACTGAACATTAATACGAAACTCAGTCGCATAGCTGTCAAACCTCCCTCACAGGGAAGGAGACTAACTCATTTTGGCCATTACCAAGCTTCCTCGAAACTTCCTCATCCAAGTCCAAACTCGCGCAAACTTGCACAAACTCAAAATCTACATTGATTCTGTGGTAAATTGTTCTCCTAGTTACTGCAGGGTGTGTAATGATCATAACAGGTGTGTCTGAATTAAATTAATGCTTCGTGAAAGAGTAATTGAGCAAAGCGGTTTTAGTCTCTTCACACACTTTATTCCTTTTAAGCGACATCAAAAATATGTTATTCATGAATATAATACACCTGTATACCAAATTTCAATTTGATATTTGAAAAATTGTCTGAGTTCCTGTTTCATTAAATGACTATGGTCACTCCAGATAACAGACCGATATGTTCTGTTTGATATATGAGATGTAAAAATCTTTAGGAACCTTTTAAATCTTAAGTCACACCACTGATATTTCTAACACTTTAGTTTCAAATGTATTAGGACGTGATATTAATTGCTCAAATTTTAAAACATGTTCACATCATGTATGAAAAATATCCACAGTATTAAGATTGTGAAAATTTCCAGTAGAATATTTGAATACAAAAAAATGTGTATTTGAATACCAAAATCTATTATTCCTTTCAGCTTTGATCTTCACAGGCATTAATTACTAAGTGTTTACTTTCACAATTACCCGTACACTGATGCACTAAAGGTCAGGGCACAAGCAGGTACATTGAACAGCATCGAAACAGGTCCTCCAACAATATGTAGTTTGATTTATATATATAATTAAATGACAGTTGTTTTCATGAAAACAAGAAACATTATTTTGACCACTTGACCATTTCAATGAATAGATATCAGTGACAATGTACAAATTTGTATATGTATGATTAAAGTCATAAATTTGCAACCATTTCACATTACAGGTAAACAGTGGGGATTTCCCACACCTGATTGTGTATGGACCCTCTGGGGTGGGCAAGAAGACACGGATCATGTGCCTCCTGCGCGAGCTGTATGGGTCAGGGGTTGAAAAGTTACGCATAGAGCAACACAACTTCACCACACCCAGTAAAAAAAAGATGGACATATCTACAATCTCTAGTAACTACCACATCGAGGTCAACCCAAGGTCAGTGGCTTTATAGCCCATAGTGGTAGGGGTCAGAAATCTATATTGTATCACTTGTAGAGGTCAATGCAAGGCCAGGGCCCACTTGTATAAAACATCTCAAAGTTAAGGAAAATCTCAAGCAATGTATTGCCTATTGGAAATCTTAGACTTGAGGAAATCTCAAAAGTGTAGATGTTTTATTTAAGTGGGCCCAGTAGTACTAGTTATTAACAAATAGTTGGAAGGGGCATAACAAGTCTATGTATATAATGTATCATATAATGTATGGCGTGTCTATTTTTGAGATTACATGTCTGGTATTATTGTGTGCTGTATTTACAGTGATGTAGGAAACAATGACAGAGTAGTCATACAGGAGCTCATTAAAACTGTAGCACAGACAAACCAGCTTGAGACTTCATCACAGAAAAGCTTTAAAGGTAAGTCTCATCAATATTACATGGACAAACAAGCTCATTTTAGTTCAAATTTCTGATCTTACTAAGTGTAATACAAGCTGAATGGACATTTGCACTGTTCCTACATAAATTTGCTAAATATGGCATTATTTTTTATTGAAATTGGGACAAAATTTGTTATTTTTTTCTTCATTTTGGGAAAACACGTTATTGTTAGGGAACAGCCTGTATTTTTCTGTAAAACTAAGCAATACATATCACTGTGTAGCTGTCAAGACTTTCTAAAGATCTAAAGGGAATCACTTTCAGAAAACTCCTTGTGTATTCATCTTAGAATTTCAATGATGTCATTGACCTTTGTGTTGTTTGTATAGTAAAAGTGGTCCTTTATTTGTACTGTAGTGGTCATTCTGACAGAAGTTGACCGTCTCAGTGTGGACGCCCAACATGCCCTGCGCAGAACTATGGAGAAGTATATGGCTACCTGTCGCCTGATTCTCTGTTGTAACTCTACCTCCAAGGTTATCCCCGCCATCCGCAGCAGGTGCCTAGGGGTCAGGGTGGCAGCTCCCTCGATAGAACAGGTAAATATCAGTCTGGATGTAGCTAGTGGATAAAAGGGTGACAACACCCTGTATAGAACAGGTAAATATCAGTCTGGATGTAGCTAGTGGATGAAGGGGTGACAACACCCTGTAAAGAACAGGTAAATATCAGTCTGGATGTAGCTATACTAGTGGATGAAGGGGTGACAACACCTTGTATAGAACAGGTAAATATCAATCTGGATGTAGCTAGTGGATGAAGGGTTGACAACACCCTGTATATAGAACAACAGATAATTAAAAAATGTGTGAAGATCAGTGCATAAACTCCCTCTGTAGAACAGGTAAATACATGTAAATCAAAATGAATGCATTCATTAGCATTGTGAAATAATGCAATCTTTTGTCAACATACTTACCATGTATTCTTTCTCTATTCCAGATAGGTCAGATCCTTCAGAGTGTTTGTAAGAAAGAGGGACTAAGCTTGCCGCTGGAGCTAGCTACAAAAATTGCTAAAAAAAGTAACAGAAACCTGCGTCGTGCCCTGCTGATGTGTGAGGCTTGCAGAGTTCAACAGTAAGTAACATATTACTGAGATTAATTTCAAGAATAAATAGCATGTAATGAAGATGAATTTCAAGAATACCTCACATGTAACTCAGGTGGAGGTCAACAATAAGTAACCTGTAACTCAGATGTAATTGAACAATAAGTCACATGTAACACAGGTGGAGGTCCACAGTAAGTCACATGTAACACAGGTGGAGGTCAACAGTAAGTAACCTGTAACTCAGATGTAATTGAACAATAAGTCACATGTAACACAGGTGGAGGTCAACAATAAGTCACATGTAACACAGGCGGAGGTCAACAGTAAGTAACCTGTAACTCAGATGTAATTGAACAATAAGTCACATGTAACACAGGTGGAGGTCAACAGTAAGTAACCTGTAACTCAGATGTAATTGAACAATAAGTCACATGTAACACAGGTGGAGGTCCACAGTAAGTCACATGTAACACGGGTGGAGGTCAACAATAAGTCACATGTAACACAGGTCGAGGTCAACAGTAAGTCACATGTAACACAGGTGGATGTCAACAGTAAGTCACATGTAACACAGGTGGAGGTCAACAATAAGTCACATGTAACACAGGTCGAGGTCAACAGTAAGTCACATGTAACACAGGTGGAGGGTAACAGTAAGTCACATGTAACACAGGTTGAGGTCAACAGTAAGTCTCCTGTAACACAGGTGGAGGGCAACAGTAAGTCTCCTGTAACACAGGTGGAGGTTAACAGTAAGTCACATGTAACACAGGTTGAGGTCAACAGTAAGTCTCCTGTAACACAGGTGGAGGTCAACAGTAAGTCTTCTGTAACACAGGTGGAGGTTATCAGTAAGTCTCCTGTAACACAGGTGGAGGTCAACAGTAAGTCTCATGTAACACAGGTGGAGGTCAACAGTAAGTCACATGTAACACAGGTGGATGTCAACAGTAAGTCACATGTAACACAGGTGGAGGTGAACAATAAGTCACATGTACCACAGGTGGAGGTCCACAGTAAGTCACATGTAACACGGGTGGAGGTCAACAATAAGTCACATGTAACACAGGTCGAGGTCAACAGTAAGTCACATGTAACACAGGTGGAGGTCAACAGTAAGTAACCTGTAACTCAGATGTAATTGAACAATAAGTCACATGTAACATAGGTAGAGGTCCACAGTAAGTCACATGTAACACAGGTGGAGGTCATCAGTAAGTCACATGTAACACAGGTGGAGGTTAACAGTTCAGGTGGAGGTCAACAGTCAGTCACATGTAACACAGGTGGAGGTCAACAATCAGTCACATGTAACACAGGTGGAGGTCAACAATCAGTCACATGTAACACAGGTGGAGGTCAACAATAAGTCACATGTACCACAGGTGGAGGTTAACAGTAAGTCTTGTGTAACACAGGTGGAGCTCAACAATAAGTCACATGTAACACAGGTGGAGGTCAACAATAAGTCACATGTAACACAGGTCGAGGTCAACAGTAAGTCACATGTAACACAGGTGGATGTCAACAGTAAGTCACATGTAACACAGGTGGAGGTTAACAGTAAGTCACATGTAACACAGGTTGAGGTCAACAGTAAGTCTCCTGTAACACAGGTGGAGGTCAACAGTCAGTCACATGTAAGTCAGGTGGAGGTTAACAGTAAGTCACATGTAACATAGGTGGAGGTCAACAGTAAGTCTCGTGTAACACAGGAGGAGGTCAACAGTAAGTCTCCTGTAACACAGGTGGAGGTCAACAGTCAGTCACATGTAAGTCAGGTGGAGGTTAACAGTAAGTCACATGTAACACAGGTGGAGGTCAACAGTAAGTCTTGTGTAACACAGGTGGAGGTCAACAGTTAGTCTTGTGTAACACAGGTGGAGGTCAACAGTCAGTCACATGTAACACAGGCGGAGGTTAACAGTAAGTCTTGTGTAACACAGGTGGAGCTCAACAATAAGTCACATGTAACACAGGTGGAGGTCAACAGTTAGTCTTGTGTAACACAGGTGGAGCTCAACAATATGTCACATGTAACTCAGGTGGAGGTTAACAGTAAGTCTTGTGTAACACAGATGGAGGTCAACAGTAAGTCACATGTAACACAGGGGGAGGTCAACAGTAAGTCTTGTGTAACACAGGTGGAGGTCAACAGTAAGTCTCCTGTAACACAGGTGGAGGTCAACAGTAAGTCTTGTGTAACACAGGTGGAGGTCAACAGTAAGTCTTGTGTAACACAGGTGGAGGTCAACAGTAAGTCACATGTAACACAGGTGGAGGTCAACAGTAAGTCTTGTGTAACACAGGTGGAGGTCAACAGTAAGTCTCGTGTAACACAGGTGGAGGTCAACAGTAAGTCACATGTAACACAGGTGGAGGTCAACAGTAAGTCTTGTGTAACACAGGTGGAGGTCAACAGTAAGTCACATGTAACACAGGTGGAGGTTAACAGTAAGTCTTGTGTAACACAGGTGGAGCTCAACAATAAGTCACATGTAACTCAGGTGGAGGTTAACAGTAAGTCTTGTGTAACAGAGGTGGAGCTCAACAATAAGTCACATGTAACACAGGTGGAGGTTAACAGTTAGTCTTGTGTAACACAGGTGGAGGTCAACAGTCAGTCACATGTAACACAGGTGGAGGTTAACAGTAAGTCTTGTGTAACACAGGTGGAGCTCAACAATAAGTCACATGTAACACAGGTGGAGGTTAACAGTTAGTCTTGTGTAACACAGGTGGAGGTCAACAATAAGTCACATGTAACACAGGTCGAGGTCAACAGTAAGTCACATGTAACACAGGTGCAGCTTACAGTAACGTATATGTGCAAGTCTATAACTCCAATGTAGTCCGAACATGTAGCTAATGATCAGGTGTATCTTGTCTTATGTGTAACTAAAGTGAGACCCTATGATATACTTAAAGGTACCCTTTCCGACCTGACCAGGAAGTGACAGAGCCTGATTGGGAACTGTATCTGAAAGAGACGGCAAATCTCATTGTCGAGCAACAGTCACCAAAAAGGTAAGACACTAAAAATTATCACAGTCACCTCTCAATCAGTCACCTCAAACCTACTTGAGTTGTTGATTCCAATGAAGCAGTAAATGCTGGTAAAGCAGATATGGGAAACAGAGCTCTTTTTTTTTAAATTTTCATGTGTAAAAGATAAAGGTATTTATAGGGTTTGTTTGGAGAACAATTTTATCATCATAAGCATTGGTGTTCCGCCTTTATCTGTGTGCTCAGGATATGGAAATTACCCTATCTTCCAATCAAATTCCAGGTCTCATGATCTTCAAGATCACCGGTCAATGACAAATGTTATTCCGATTGTTTTTGCCCAGAGGAATACCATTAAAATTATGTAGAACAATATTTTGAAAACAATCTTCTGTGTGTGCGCTCATTAACATTTAAAATGGTTCACAATGTCACCTGTCGTAAGCAGACATTCTTTTTCTCCCTCAAAAAAACCAGTCCAAAATGGAAAAATCCATGCTGAAGTTGTTCTCTTTTCGATTACTCTAAACTGACAACCTGTAATAAGGAATTGTCATGTTACTGGTAGATGGTATAAAATAGTATAAAGATGATATGTTTATCTTGAAGTTGTGAAATTACTTCAAATTGAGGTGATAAATATGAAAGCAGAGAAAGCTTCAGTAGACTAAGTTTGTGTTGTGTCGAGTTACTGAGTACGCTGAGTATGCTGAGTATGCTGAGTACGCTGAGTATGCTGAGTATGCTGAGTACGCTGAGTACGCTGAGTATGCTGAGTATGCTGAGCTGAGTATGCTGAGTATGCTGAGTACGCTGAGTATGCTGAGAGGTGTTACCTGTCTATAATTTTGTATCTTCAATTATTGTTACCAGATTACTGGAGGTGCGGGCACGTCTGTATGAACTGATCACACACTGTATACCAGCTGACGTTATAATGAGGGTAAGCTAAGGAAAGATGCTTCCTATCAGATAGTTCATGTTCTACGGGTTAACTGACATCCTGGCACTTACACTGTTTTCTGTGTATAAACCAGATCTCTTTTGACATCAGTTATTCCCCTTAGAATACTGAATAGTGTCACTGTTGTCTTGTCTTCTATATACCTGTATCACATATAGGCTAAAACAAAACCTACAAGGATAGTGAAGTAATCAAACTTGATGGATCACATATTTTGCTGTAAGTTGAAATTGTATGTTTACCATTCTACTGTTTAGGTTGTACACTAATTTGAAGTTGTCTTTGAGACATATTTCATTTAGAATGTTCATATCACCTCACGCTGCACTCATTTATAATAAATAGCACTTAACTTACTCATTGACATCATTATTGTTTGATTCATCACCTTATCCAGGTCTTCAGTTCTATTGATGTGTGATTTCAGGGCCTACTACAAGAGCTGGTGAAGAATTGTGATGGAGAACTTAAATTGGAAGTAGTGCAATCTGCAGCATACTATGAACACAGACTACAGACTGGGCAGAAGGCCATCTACCATCTAGAGGCATTTGTGGCCAAGTTCATGGCCATCTACAAACGTTTCTTTGAGGAAGGCATTGCGGACCTGTTCTGATTTAACCTGTAAATGACCATATGGAGACCATTTTTGAGGAAGGCTTTGCAGGTGTGTTCTGATGAATAATATATACTGCCTCCTGCAAATGTTTCTTTCAGGAAGACATTGCATATCAGTTCTGACAAGTGCTATTCATCACAGTTTCACAGACAATATCTGTTGAGTCATTCATGATAACACATACCTGTTACTGTGGTAACCATTACGTGCCGCGTTTTGTTAGAATGTGGTATTTCAATTAGGGTTTATTGTGAGATTGTTAACAAGTTTGTTATTACATCATTTAAATGCTACCTGTTGCAATTAGTGATGGTTTCCAGGACTACTGCCATTGTTACAGGTTCTAGTGAGAGTTTACACCAACTCCACGTTTAATTACCGCGGCATTGTGAGGATCGGCGAATGAGGTGCAGAGTTTGGTCACCATTATGTTGATACAATTGGCCATGGTGAAGGATTGTTGACCAAAAAGCAGTGTTCTGTTGTTTTATATATCTTTTGTATTCATTGTGCTACTGCTTTCTTCAGGACAATGTGTTTTGATGCAGTCATTTAGTTGATGACAAAGGGACTGGCTGTTAGAGACCTCGTTGTGTGAATGATACTTGTGGACAGTGCATGTTAAACTGGGATTCCATGTCATCTTATGGAATTAAGCATCTATTCATGAAATGTGCTATTTGAAATATAAATTATTTCAAAATTGAATATTAAAAATGTATAAAATAAATTTAATATATGTACATGTAGTTCTTTTTGCATATATACTTAACCTTTGAATACTGTTGTATAGAGTTCAAAAACAAATAAGTATATATAACGGGAGATGCCAGAGAGAGCTCTATGTAAGATTGATCCATCAGTAAATGCACCTTGTGGTAACTTTGATCAAACTTCATACTACTGTGTATGACAGTGTTCTTTGAGAGTGAAGTTGTTGGACGAGCTCTTTACTAGCACAGCTCTGTGTAACAAGAACTTACACTTGAAATTTGAGAAAAATCTGAAAAAGTGATAACTTGAATGATCAAAATCCAATATGGCTATCTGTGGCAATTTTATTTTTCTGATCAGACTCAATTTGAAACAATCAACTTAGCACCAATGAAAATCAACTAAAGATCTGTCTAGTACTTTTTCACAAATACAGTGTACATGTTGTAAAAGCAAACTTGAACTGTCGAAATTCACGATGGCTATCTTATTTTCCCAATCGGGTTCGGAAATTAAACGTTCACTTCCTGAATAATGTTGCTGTCAAAGTTTAACTCTCAAGGATCAAGACTGTCGCCTATTGGCCATCTTAGTTTCCATCGGGAACGTTCACATACATGTGACATTTCAGAACGATCCTTCCAGTGCCTTCTGAGAAATAGTGGTAACAATTTGTTAAGACAGACCACAGATGAAGTTATTTTGAATATCCCATCATCAGAAGATGGTGGGCTACAAATCTTTTCCGAAATTATAATGGAGTAGTTGTGACCTTATGTGGAGGAGGCTCGGTTCATTTTATCTGAAATGAAATGAAATGTTAAGATGAATTTTATTTTATAGGCTAAAAGTATTTTATAAGCAAGTTCCCAGTAGTTCAGCAATCGGATCTTCAAAAGGAAAAGTTCCTGTATTAAATTGACAGTTTAATATGTTTGTAAAAGTTAATGGCAGATGTTTTGTTGAACTGCCATATTCTGAGGTTTTGTGAGGCCAGGTGTTTTCATCTTAATACAAGAGATCCCAGAGGGATCTTGGCGCCGACCTTTGTCCCATCTTCATTAGTTCTTTGTCAGTTCGATCTTTTCTCTTCTTCCCTCTAATCTGTTTGATCGAGTCATGTTAACAGTAAATGCACCTCGAGGTAACTTTTGATCTAAACTTAATACTGATGTGTATGAAAGCCAACCTTCAAAGAGTTGTCATTTCACATATTTACTAGTACAGTACTTAATATGAAAGAAATAGAATTGATCATTGCAATATGAGAAAGATGTTTTGTTCTTCTTTTAATCCATTTTGTTTTTATGATCAGTCTCAAAATATAACATACACAACGAGGGATCAAGGGGAACCTACATTTAAAATTTGAGAAAGATCTCAAAAATTGCCCTGCACAGCTAAGGACCATGGGGAACCTACAAATAAAATTTGAGAAAGATCCCTCTGGTACTTCTTGAGAAATAGCGATAACAAACTTTCAATATCAAAATCTAAGATGACTGCCTGTCGGCCATGTTGTTTATCCGATCAGTCTCTAAAATTGCCCTGCACAGCTAAGGACCAAGGGGAACCTACATATAAAATTTGAGAAAGATCCCTATGGTACTTTTTGAGAAATACTGATAACAAGAATTGTTTAAGGACGGACGGACCACGGACGCAGGGTTTTTGAATAGCCCACCATCAGATGATGGTGGGCTAAAAAGAAATAAAAGAAATACACAAAACTTACAGTTTAAGTTTTTAATAATGTTGAAGCATAACAAACAAAATCCAAAACAATTCATTTCAATTCTTAACTAAATAGGTTCCTCACACTCTGGACTACAAATGTATTCCATTCTTGTTTAAAAGCACCCCTCCCACTTTAGATAGTGATAACATAACAGGTTTTACAAACCCTCACACTTTTGACAAAACCAGTCTCTCTCTCGACTAAACCTCTATCTCTCTCTCTCTCGACTAAACCAGTCCCTCTCTCTCTCTACTACATCTCTTCTGCTCTGCAGAGTGATTACAAGAATGGTCTCTTTGACCATGAGCCTCTCACTCTTAACAAAACAAGTCTCTTCCACTGTAAAAATTAAGTAAAATGTAAGTCCCTGAATACAGACTGATCGGGATATTGGATTTAAATGCTCCAAATACAGATATAATATGCATGCCATGGTGAAGAATACAGAATTATTTTTTTTAACATATTTTTTATTTAACTCAATAAAACACAATAATGATATGGTGCATTAAATACAACTTTTCAATTATAATTTCTGCTGTAATTATGTCAAAGATACCATAACCTTAAGTAAACACTTGTTCCGACCTAATCCAAGAGACAACTTATTGGGACTTTAGCAAATTACGCTGTGAGAATAAGCACACATGTACAGCTAACACATTATTGACCAGTCATTTCAAAGGAATTTGTAACACTGCAAAAATATAATATTGTAATTCATGATCACAAGAAGCCTTTCAACAATCATTCTGATACTTTCTACAAAGAGCGTAGTAGCAGTATATGTGAATACTTGCAAGCATGTAGAAAATAGGTTCTTATGAAAACCTTACATATTTTATATACATAATATTTACATTCATTTATGCAAAACATCAGTGTAAATGCGACTTTGCTTTTTTCAGGTTTAACCTACAGAAAAACTATTTGCTTCAAGGCTGATTTATGATTAATGATGTTGCTTGAACAATCAGATGAAGATGAAATTGTAGGTATTCCTCTTACAAAACTGAGGTTATTTTTTTTTTAACTTTTAACCATCAATTTGATGTAAAGAAATTGGTGCCCAACACTATATTCACATTAAGAACCTGTGAATGTGCACCACTGATTGAAAATTCTGGATCTGCACCTAACAATGACTTAATACAACACAATAATGATATACAGTGAAGTCCATAGGCACAAGACAGAAATGGTGGGTGTTTAGCAGTCATTTAAATTTAAGATTAATAGAATCTTCCCCTACCTTGCTTGAGGGTGTGACAGAAATCTCCTACCCGAGGGTGATGTTTTTTTGGTTGTCTAACCCGAGGGTTAGACTACCAAAAAAATCACCCCGAGGGTTGGAGATTTCTGTTAGACCCTCAAGGTAGAGGATGATTCTTTTTCTCCCATCCTATTATTTCCGTCACAGCTCCACCGACAGTAGTCTGCCATATTTGTAAACAAAAACACATGTGGGGTATGCCTATCGTCATTCACTTTTGATGACGTCACAATTTACCGATGACATATTTTAATGGCGTCACAATTAAACATGTGCGAATCGGCACGAGGCTATCTCCCCCTAGGGGGTGACAAGCTGATCTTTCCCGTCTAAAACGGGAGACAAACCTGTGAAGGGTGGGAGAAAATCTTGTGATCATACTATCCATTAATTATAAGTTATCTTGCTCATTCCACTGCAGTGATCTGTCTTAAATGAGAAGTATAGGTTCCCATCAGGAGTTTTGGTTTTGACAGGTATAAGGGAAAATCATAAAGAAAATTCTTAGCAAAGATATGACTGAAGGCAAATAACAAAATTGTTCTTAAAGAATACAAGCACATTACTATGAATGCCATACCAAGCTCCACATTGCTATGGAGTCGATTAACAATGTACACATCGCTATGGAGTCGATAAACAATGTACACATCACTATGTAGGCCACATACAATGTAAACATTGTCAGTCTTCGTTTCTTAATCACTCTTTTAGAGGTCTATCAAATATTTCCTTTTCTATCGAAATTGAAAAGAAAATGTGTGTCTCCTCTGATCTTTCTTCAAGTGATCACAATAAACATAACCACAAAATAAGACTTATTTTTTCTGATGGTTTAAAAAACAAAAGTCTCAATGTGTTGTCGACAAGAAGACGGACACTCTTTTACATCTTATCTACATATTGAAACCAATCACTTACATCCGGTTTAAGTAATTGTTAATTAGCAGTAATATATTACCGATACAGCTAACAGCAGTATTTTCTCATCTACACATTCATATCATTTTGGTCTTATATAATAATATTGACAGGATGGCACTTTTAAAGGTATATTCTATGGATTTCTCAAAAATATGTAGACTACAAAACAGTAACAATGTTAGTAAGATTGACTTTAAAGTTTGTTAATATGATTGTGTTCCCTATTGGAACACATGTTTATAGACAATCAGTAACAATGTTCCATTTTAGTTCTTGGGCTTATTTGCCTGTGAAATATATATATATAGTTAATCCACAACTCTTAATGTTGTTGACTCATGATTTGCTCTCAACCATTTAGAACAATTGAACATTTCATTTCTTTGTGATAGAACTAAGTTGTACCTAAACCAGTAGTACCGTATGTATTAGGCAAAAAGTACAGAATATCAAAATAACTGTAATCCCATCAGTGTTTTGGTCAGTTTTAAGACGCAATATGAACAATCATTTAATAATATCTATTCTTTAATATCAAATAATCAAATATGAAGCGGTCAAATGAAGGTTAAACTGTTTGAAAAATTGTGTACAGTTCTGCCAAATAAACAGCCTGCCCACCTTAGGGCTAGAAGCTTAATTGCTGTGTTATATGTTATGGAGTACTGCTTGGTTTATGTATAACTTTCCTGCAACACAAAGTGGTCTGCCCTATGTTCATGAAAAGTCATCAATGTTCATACACACAACTTATTGAACTTAACATACATAGAGTGATATGTTGATAAATGACATTCGAATGAAACAGAAGAATTAGGTGTCTAATGTTCCCATGACATTAAGAGCAGGTAACAGACCTCACATCAGGCATAGTATTGTTTCTTTGTAACAAGGCAGAAAAGTGAGTTTTGTCATTTATCACATTTTCCTCCCACATATCATCAATGTCTGCCCAAAAGGGGCCACCAGCTTCACTAGAATCACTGGCTCCTAGAGTAAAGAATACTTTATCCTTTCTGAAAGCTGGTTTCTTGGACTTTCCAAATTTAGGCTCCAGGACTGACATTGAGGCTACATCGAGCTGTAACACATCATTTTTCACATCTAGATCTTCTAGGTGTTTGCGTACATAGTCGGTGAGGGAGGGAGAGGAGAAAGATGATGGAACCTGTACAACAGGCTGTACCTTCACCGCTGGTGGCTTTTCCTGGATGGACATGGGGACTCGTACCTCTAGCTGTGGCTCCTCAACAAAGTCATACATGTATTGTTCTGTGTGATGGAGAAAAAAGACCATTTTACCAAAGGATTCCCCAACACCATTGCTAGGATCAGTTTTATCATTCCTTCTCTACCCAAAGCTTGACAGCTGTACCTGTTCATAACCAGTTTTTTACATGACAAATTTTAGTGTTAGTTCAAACAATACTTTTACAAATAAACAACAAACTTTAAATAGATGAATGAAGTTTACTATTGAAAAAGATTCAGTTCATTTTTAGCTTTTTAATCTTTTCATCGACAAAGCAAATAAACAACTTGCCTTTCCAGTTGGGAAAGGTTGGGCGACGTGGACCCTCAAGACGGTAGAGAGCACTCTCATTTCCTGCATTGGCAGCTTTCCTATATAAGGTCATGGCCGTGACTTGATCCTCTGGTAGTCCTGTTAACCAACAAACGTTTATTTTTATTTTTATGAAATACTTTACCTTTGCCGAAGTAATAGAGAATGTCTCCTAAATAAGAGGTCTATTAGATTTCCGTTTCTTTAAATTCCTTCACATTAACATTGAATGTTTAGAAGTTGATAGCAAAATATCTCTATTTTACTATAAATGAGGTAGGAAAAGCAAGACGCAATAACAAAAATTAAAATCCTACCTCCTAGTCCATGTTCATGGAAGAATGCTAGATTGTAGATGGCACCATCATGTCCCTTGGTAGCAGCCTGGCTGTACAGGTCTGCCGCACGGCACTTGTTCTCCTCCACTCCAAGTCCCTGCTCGTAGCACAGAGCCAGGAAGTACTCTCCATCAGAGTCCTGTAACAGTAGAGACTTCCTTACAACTAGTACTAAACATAATGCTATTTCATCTCAATGCTAAACATACTATTCCAGCCAAATGCTAAAAACCTAGAAATACACTTTAAGATCTGAGAGCCAAACAAATGCATCACAATTATTATTGGAGTCAAATATTGACATTACAAAATGGGGCCCAGTCACTGCTAAATATAGACGCACTATGTTTGACATAAATTAAACAATAGCATTACCCTTGCAACAGCACTGAACATAAGCAGTATGCCATTAGGTCCCTGGATTTCCTAACTACCTGTCTCAGACTTAAACTAATGAGATTTGTGTGTAGTAACTGACAGGAAATCATCTTTTTGTCAAGCCAGAGGGGTCATCACAGACAGGTGGTCAGAAAGAAACCTCAGCAGTATAAGGGTGAAAAGGAAGTGGAAATGAATGAATGTCAAACTCCATCTTCTTGTTTTTTAATAGGCATGGAATAGTATAATTAACTACTGCTAATGAAGGGAGGTAACTCACATCCTGGCCAGCAGCAGCTCTGAAGTAGGCGACAGCCTTGTCCAGACAGGACTGTTTCTGCCCCATGATGTGTACTCCCATGTAGGTCTGGGCCTGGAACATCAACAAGGTAAATCATCCATTGTACATGTTATATAAAAAAATAACAATTTAAAACACGCCCACCAAAGAAAGAGAAAATGAATTGAACTCTGTGTCAAGCGAGTGGCTGTAGGCTGCATTTCACTATCTAGTCAAGCCTCATTAGTCAAGCCACCACCGAGCACTGGGGCAACCACACTGAAGGTGTCTAGACACTGCAATAGCTGTACTTGTGGGGCCAGATACTGGGATATTAAGTCTGGTGGGTGGTGCATACTGGAACAACTACACTGACTATCCAAAAATGTCATTGTACACCAAATCTGGTTACTCAAGGTGAAATAGTATAGAAGATATGCACGGACAAACTTTTTCAAAAGTAAAGGTCAAAGGTTAATTCATAGGTCACAGTGACCTAATTTTTGCACTCTGTCGTCCCAAGGTGTCCTTTTACACCAAATCTGGTTACTCCAGGGGAAATAGTATAGAAGATATGCCCCGGACAAAAAAAATCAAAAGTAAAGGTCAAAGGTCCCAGTGACCTAAATCTTTCACTCTGCCATCCCAAGATGTCCTTTTACACCAAAACTGGTTACTCGAGGTGAAAAAGTATAGAAGATATATGCCACAGACAAACTTCTTGGACAGAAGGACGGACAGAGTGCAAACCTATAGTTCCCTCGGGAACCGATGGGGGACTAAAAAGTAGATGATAGAGTGTTTCAACTGGATATCCCTAAACATGTATACCGGTAATTAAAGATATGAAGTCTGTCTACTTGAATTATTCTTTTAACATATGTCAAGCCCGACACACTGGTTCTTGTTTTGTGTGGTAGTGAGAGACCGGGTCCTACCTGTGCCAGTCCAAGCTCTGCAGCCTTCTCCATGAGTTGAAGACCGTATTTAGGCGATGTCAGTCCTTCTTCCTCCCCAAGATAGAGTAGGGCTAGGTTGTACATGGCCTGAGGGTGGTTCTCCTTCACTGCTCGCTCGTACAGTTTAACAGCCTGCATACACATTTGTACAGTTAATGTGATAGGGAATGTAGATTTTCAATTTCAGTGATAATGTTAAACTAACCTGAACACTATTGGGCTAATTAAGCACAGATGTAAAGCATTAATAAATGTTTCTGGGCTAAAAAAAAAGAAGATGTTGATTTTCCAAAATGTGTTGCAAATATTCACAGCTGATTAATGGAGTCATTATTTCTCTTTTGAACAAACTACCTTTTAAAAGTAAAAATTTAAACTTGTTGAAACAACATATACTGCTTTAGTTTGAATCCTTACAGCTATGACTGCTACAATTGTTTATTTCTTTTATTCTGTACTCAGTCATCAGATGTAAATTTACACTGCAAGCATATGTTGTCTAGACCCAACTCACAAACAGCCAATCAGGTCAATGTCAGATTAAACATAGATTATCGGGAACTATTATAGTGCATTATTTGAGACATTAAAACCATTCATTTAAGCTGTATATATCATATTTAGAGATATAGTTATTTTGAGTAATAATCCCTGCTAATTTGCAGATGTATGCATTCAGCGTGAAATTATTAACTTCAAATATTTCGGATTTGCCCAAATGTACAAATACCTACACACATCTGTACACAGCTAAACAACTGACACAACACAGAAGATAATGTCATCAACAACAGTACATTCGTAATTCAGTGACACCTGAAAAACATGCAATTTAAATGTAACCCAAAAACAAACAAAACATTTTCCAACACAACAATGACATCATTAACACATTATGATATGAAAAATAGATCTTTCATATCGAACTAAAATTTAGAGTAGTATCATAACCTCAGAAATATTCACCTGTTTCATGTTTTTCTTTACCCCACGCCCTGTCTCGTAACACAGACCCAGATTGAAGCTTGCCTTGCCGTACGCTGAGCTACTAGCTTCTGCCCAGTGATTGGCAGCCTCGGTCAGCTGACCTGCCAAAGCTTTCTTAAGCCCAGCAATATTTTGTCCAACGGCTGCATATGTACGACAAACTGTTTCAAACTCCTTCATTACTGTTTCTAAAGGATCAAAGGAAGACCCTCTTGTGGTCTTGTCTTTTTCCTCCTCCACAACCCCAGCATCTTTCTTCACAGCCACATCCTAAGAGGATATCAGCACGAAGATTACAATACACCACAGAAGATAGCAGAGGTCATGAATATAGGATATGTACCGTAAAGGTACAGGTAGGAAAACAATGGGCTATATGAATAGACATTTGAGAAAAAAGTTTATTGAGATTGGGAAAGTTTTGTTATTAGAAGTTAAATATCACTGGAACAGAAACAGATTCCACCAATGCTTTGATTATAATTCTAAACTCTCCATGAACCTATTTTCCTTTGCTTGATTCACCTTTAAGTTAAGTGCACCTCTAAAAGTAAAGCTACAATTCAAATTGCAAGGTATTGATATTTATTATGTATTATTAAAAGTAAACATTTTTGTAACTCTTACTACCTGTTACTTATTACATGTACCTGATTATAACACATGGATAGACTTTGATCAATGCAAAGATTCACCTTGCCATTGCCTGACAAGCACTACATACCTTGGTGTCTTGAGTACTAAAATTCAATAATGGCCCATATCTTTCATACAGGTCTGGCACGGGGCTCGTACGCTTTCCATCTGAAGGAGGGGTTTCATTTGTTTCAAGGATAGATTTCTTACACAGGCAAGGTTGGGGCAGCACACTTGATATCTTGAAGAGCAGACATTGGGAGTGCTTATCTTTGTCCTTCGATTTCTCCCATCTGTCTATCAGTAGGTGGTACCTGGTAAGCTGTAGACCAACCACCACAATCGTCCCCTAGTGACACCAACAAACACCATGGTAATAACAAACAGCACAGTAACATCAACAATCATCACAGAAACATAAAGCCAATTTACATATGGGGAATAAAAGTTAACATACAACTACTTATAATACTGTACTTGAAAAATACTTTAAAATATTTTTTAAATATCTTGTTCTTTGATCAGAAAAAGAAGGTATATAAAAGCTTCAGTTGAATTTATGTTAAGTCCAGAATGTATGATTATCTCCCTTTCCCATTCTTGGGGAAAACAAATGATCCAGTAAAAATGTGTGATGACACTCACCCATCCAAAGGCCTCACATGATCCTGGTCCACAAAAGAGTGTCCAGAAATTAGGTGTGTGTCGGTAGCCTTTCTCTTTGTCAGTCCCCGACTCCTGTTGCCATTGATTGTCATCATGGGAACTTTCCTGATGGTTTGTCCCAGCTCCTAGCCTGTAACATCATTGTTTCTTTCTTTATTTAGGGTATATGTATTAAATATGCAACTGAACACTGTTGTTTGGACAGGTATGCTTAAAGATTGGCCATCCACCCATTTACAGTATATTTCACCAACTTAAAAACTACACAAAAAGGTATAATTTTGCTGTTGCCGACTCAGAAAGAGGGCTTCTCTTTTAGCTCACTGGAAGCTGAACATTACACAAGAAGACTAATTGTAACCAAGACTAATTGTAACCAAGGTCAACAATTAACAGTAACCTCTTCCTTCTAGCATTTAATTTGCTCTGATAGATTATGAACTTGTGTGTATGAATATATATGTATACAATAATAATCTACTTCCTAGCAGAACAACACTCTTTTTAACAACAGGTTGACATGTACCGGTATTGGGCTTTGTACTGCTGGCGTCGGCTCTCTGCACATTTCTTTGCTTCGTCTAATTCGTCTTCTTTACAAACACCAGAAGCTGAGGCTCTGGGACCATGCAGGTGGTGACGGAGGGCTGCAGTAAAAAGTAACAAAATGTTAAAATACAGTGTATATATGTCAAAGGTATCTAATTCAAAATTAAACATAAAAAACCAGTCAAGTTTTAAAATTTTAATCATCCCACAAGTTAAATTGTCCTCATTTAATTTTTTGTGCAAGTATATAATTACCATAGGGATAACAATTTATTTAAACTTTTAGCCACTTTTTAATAACTTAAAACTCCAACATACATAACAGAAAAGGGGCAACAGTTTGAACTTATACGTACAAATTAAAGTTCTGTATATATAACTGCCAAAAAAGCTACAAGGAGGAGCCTACTAGTACTTCTTTAGACGAATATTATACTCTATAAACCAAATCTGAGAGCAGAAATGGCACGTTGTTACTACCACAAAGTGGATTGAATAAAGTGAAGGCACAAAACTTCCGAATGTGATAACTGCATCTGTGAGCTTTTCAAAGCGAAAGCAGTTGTGCAGAAAATATTTGCCTATCAACAAAGTTAGCAGAGATACTTTTATATATACATCAGCTGACCTCCACAAAATTTGGATAGAAAATATAATAGACAAACAACATGGTTAGACACAAACTTTGTTTGTTTGGTAAAATAGATTATTTACTAGTCCCTCATCAATGTAACTAGTCCACGATTTCCTGATAAGGAAACAACAAAATATCAAAAGTAAAGACTGTAGGGGACTTAAAATAACTACTGCCATAATAATGATATGGTGAAATTTTAGGAAAATTTTGACAATATATCTTAATCTCCCTCCCATCCCCTAACTCCATATTGCAGTGGGGCTAATATCTAAGAATATTGTTCAGGTCCATCAGAAATTAAACAAGTCCACAAGATCAAGAAAGCTGGTGGACCTGCGGTCCACCACCTATTAAAAGTTATTGTCAACCCCTGCGTGACGTCAGTATAAAAAATAAAAATGAAACATGAAACCAAATATACATGAACAAAAAATGTGCAATAATTTGGAAATTGGAGAAGTTGTTAATTGGATTGATTTATTTAGATCTAAGGGACCCCATTGGAGTTAAGCCACAAGTTGGCTTTCTGGGTCATCCCAGGTAAAGGCCTAAATTAATCTTATCCAATCCAGTTTTATGGCATAAATAACTTATAAATATATAACATCTGTAATAATATTTATATTTATGTCCAATCTGCAAAATGTGATATGTGTATGATCTGCCTTTTACCTGAATAAATAGTATTATTAATATCATTATTGTTGTTCTATTGGGTAATATGCCCCTATATTATGACTGTATTATCTAGATCTAGGTCGAAGAACTTTTTACTGTGTACACAAACCCCTATATAAGTATATACTTAGAAGCTTGGATACTTGCCAATTGGTATTTGTTCAATCTGAACAAATCTGTGCAGATGACAACAACTGTATTGTAATTTGCACACACACATAAATGTAGTATAGGATTGTTAAATGGAGTAAAGTTGTGTCTAGCTGTTACAGTAGTCGTGTACATGTACGTATTTCTGTGTGGAAATGAAGCGCAAATGTGCAAGAATATCATAGTGCTGTTGCAGTAGAACTTGGGACTTCCAAGGCCATCATTTAACATTCTAGCAATAGAACCAATTTTTAGTATCCATTTTAAACAGTAATGAAATAGTTCGTCTAGACTTCAAAAACATATTTTAAAACCAAAGGATTAGATATAAGGGAAGTAAATAGCATGGCCATCCAGGTCACCTTGGATGTTTTGTTATGTTTTTTACTCGAGTGTGACACACCTTACTTCAAGATGAAAATATCCTTAAAAAAAACGTTTAAGAAATTCATCCTCTTTTTCTGGAATAAAACACAAACCAAAGTTTACTTACCTCTGGGAATTCCACTGAGCCACCTCCACATTGCTACATATTTCGTGTAAACATCACAAAATTTTATAACAATTTGTTTGGCATCCGCTTCACCGGAACACCACGTGACCTCTTTTCGTTGTTCTCGTGCAGGATCATCCCACTTCGACGAATACTGAATGAGTTCCGAATAGAAAAAAATAGGGAATTCCTATTACGTCAAATCGAAAATAGATTAAAGGGAGCTCACTCCATTACTTCAAATGTGGCCCATAGATCAATGTCTGTCACTTGACATGAACCTGTCAGCACTGTCTAGGCCAACAATATGAGTGCACAGGTGTAGGAACAGTGACACGGATAGACGTCTTCACTACATATTGCAAGGTAAATGGTGGACAAATGGTGCTGTTATGCTTTTGTTTTAGTCAAGCCGAAACAAATATTGTCACGGGTGTTTTATTTTCGGTTTGTTGCTTTTGTACTTATGTATTTTAGCGTTAATTTAAATGTTGCCTGTTTGATTACATAACAATGGTAGAAATATGCCGGTATTATCATATTTTTTTTTTAACTATTACGACATATTTTCGATATACATTTCCCATAAACTCATTATACGTTTCAGTATCAATATAAGCTGGTAAGGTGTCTTTGAAGGTGGTAATTTGCATGTTATATATATAGCAGTCCTTATACACTCATACACAACTTAAACGGGGAAAGGTATGGTGTGTTGGCACAGTTACTGTTAACCTTTATGATCAGCAATGCTGTGTATAACATATACAGTGTAATGCATCTAGGGAAGGCGAACTGTTGTGTGCTTAATTGTGTCTAATAAATTCCACTGCTCCTCTTTTTACATAGTTATGGTCCTGTACTCATTTTTGAAACATTGTTTTATTTATGGTGTTTTAAAATAAGGACAATAGGTAACAATTCTTATACATCATTACAATTGTTTTTAAACAAAAGGTTAAGCCATGTTGGAGCACCTTGTCTTATACCCTCATTTAAAAAAGTAAGGCACAGCTTATTTTTTCATCATAACACATTATAGAAATATTAAATTGTGGGTGTGTATAGAATAGTGTGGCATCACCAATTAAAACTAACTATTTAAATACTCCCATGGAATTGTTGAGAGTATGCGAGTATAGAAATACAAAGGTCCTGACATTTTACTCTGCAGTTTAATGGATGTTATATGGCCAGTGATGGGAGATTTGTTTCCATCCCTGCATTCATCTTGATAATAGTTTGGTAAATTTTGATTGGTTCTATTACAGGTGACATGGTTTTTCATGTTGTTCCTTTGCATTGTACCTTTCCTGTTGTATTTAATAGTGAGAAAATAAGCATATGGAAATTGATATTGAAGCCAATTTTCATATTTATTTTAGATATTTTTCCTGTATCAAAGATGGCAAACAAAGTCTTGAACTGTAGATTTCCCAGACCAACAGCCTCCTGTCAGCTGTTCTGTTTCCCCTGGGCAGGCGGAGGATCCAACTTCTATGCAAACTGGGGAAACATGCTCCCAGAGTCTATTGAAGGTGACTATTTTGGTTGTAACAGTCAGCTCCAGCTTCAGAAACTTTACATAGACACAATGTATGAGCAAGAGTTAACTGTAGATAAGTCTTGTCAAGAACCATAAGCTTGAAAAAAAGACCCCATTAGTATATTTGAAATATATATATATATATATATATTGATGTAGGATTAGCTGAATGTTGTAGTGTTGAGTGTATCTGTTACAGTGACTGGCCTTACACTGCCAGGACGAGAAGGAAGATTTAAGGAACCTTGCTGTCACTCTCTGGACACAGTGCAAAAGGAAATCATTTCAGCCCTTATACCAAAGTGTAAGGAGCGGCCCTTTGCTTTTTGGGGACACAGGTCTGTACATATTTACATGATCATATATACTATCCAACCTTAAATGGACTGTAAAAATAGATTTTGCCAATAACTGAACACATTTCCTTAATCAGTATGAAAATATGCATGTGTAAATATATTGACTTATCGTGAACTAATGTAGCAGTATTGACTCGCAAAAAAATATGTATTGACTCACCATGGCATATGTGTTGTACAATTAATAGTATTGACTTACAATGGACTATGTGTTGTAGCAGTATTGATCCCTCACAACGAACTATGTGTTGTAGCAGTATTGACTCACAATGAACTATGTGTTGTAGCAGTATTGACTCACCATGAACTATGTGTTGTAGCAGTATTGACTCACAATGGACTAGGTGTTGTAGCAGTATTGACTCACAACGAACTATGTGTTGTAGCTGTATTGACTCACGATGAACTTTGTGTCTTAGCAGTATTGGCTCACAATGAACTATGTGTCTTAGCAGTATTGACTCACAATGAACTAGGTGTTGTAGCAGTATTGACTCACAATGGACTATGTGTTGTAGTAGTATTGGCTCACAACGAACTATGTGTTGTAGCAGTATTGACTCACAATGGACTATGTGTTGTAGCAGTATTGACTCACAATGGACTATGTGTCGTAGCAGTATTGACTCACAAAGAACTATGTGTCTAAGCAATATTGACTCGCAACGAACTATATGTGTAAGCAGTATTGACTCACAATAGACTATATGTTGTAGCAGTATTGACTCACAATGGACTATGTGTTGTAGCAGTATTGACTCACAATGAATTATGTGTCTAAGCAGTATTGACTCACAATGAACTATGTGTCGTAGCAGTATACAGTCAGTGTTAACTATATGTATTGCAGCAGCATGCCATCAAAGATATTTCCACAATAAATATTGAACACAAATCATAACTTTTCCTACACATTGAAAACACTTGAAGAATTAAAATGCATACATTATCATACAATGAAAGTTTTCAATATTGAAAACTTAAACATCTCCGTTTTAACACTTTTCACCATGCTTGAAACATAATGTCATAATTGACTTTGATAGTGAAAGGAATGGCACTCTTGTCAGATTTTGCTTGATAATCTTTACCACAATATTAACTCATTCACCCCTGAAGATTCATAATGAACTATTCCAACCATTGAATTGGAAGAGTTCAAATGTGTCTTCAGGGGTGAATGAGTTAAGTTCCTCTTGGAATCAGTCAGTTTTACTTATTGAAGTAATATTGTTGTTTAGTCCATGGATTGGATATATTCTAGCAAGCTTTTAGCTAAAAGTTTTGTTTTGTTTTGTTTAGGAGTGTTTAACACCCTATCAACAGCTATGGTCATTTAAGGACGGCCTCCCCTGTGTGCAAGATGCATGCATGTAGTGTATGCGTGTGTGTTTTGGGAGGCTGCAATATGTCTAGCTAAAAGAGAAGTACTTTTGAATACATATATGTTTTATATCAAATGTTTTAGTCTTGGAGCAATGATGTGTTTTGAAGTAGCAAGAATTCTGAAGAGCGAGTACAACCTTGAGCCAGAGCGCTTGTTTGTGTCTGGAGTCTCTGCTCCCCATGTAAGTATGAGCTTAAACGTGTCTGTGTGATTTCGTTTAGAGTCTCCACTCCCCATGTAAGTTTGAGCTTAAATGTGTCTGTATGATTTCGTTTAGAGTCTCCACTCCCCATGTAAGTATGAGCTTAAACGTGTCTGTGTGATTTCGTTTAGAGTCTCCACTCCCCATGTAAGTTTGAGCTTAAACATGTCTGTTTGATTTTGTCTAGAGTCTTACCCCCCAAGTAAGTATGAGCTTAAACGTGTCTGTGTGATTTCGTTTAGAGTCTCCACTCTCCATGTAAGTTTGAGCTTAAATGTGTCTGTATGATTTAGTTTCGAGTCTCCACTCCCCATGTAAGTTTGAGCTTAAACGTGTCTGTATGATTTTGTCTAGAGTCTTACCCCCCATGTAAGTATGAGCTTAAACGTGTCTGTGTGATTTCGTTTAGAGTCTCCACTCTCCATGTAAGTTTGAGCTTAAATGTGTCTGTATGATTTAGTTTCGAGTCTCCACTCCCCATGTAAGTTTGAGCTTAAACGTGTCTGTATGATTTTGTCTAGAGTCTCTGCTCCCCATGTAAGTTTGAGCTTAAATGTGTCTGTATGATTTTGTCTAGAGTCTCCACTCCCCAAGTAAGTTTTAGCTTAAACGTGTCTGTATGATTTTGTCTAGAGTCTTACCCCCCATGTAAGTATGAGCATAAACGTGTCTGTGTGATTTCGTTTAGAGTCTCCTCTCTCCATGTAAGTTTGAGCTTAAATGTGTCTGTATGATTTTGTCTAGAGTCTAAGCTCCCCATGTAAGTATGAGCTTTAACGTGTCTGTGTGATTTCGTTTAGAGTCTCTACTCTCCATGTAAGTTTGAGCTTAAATGTGTCTGTATGATTTTGTTTAGAGTCTCCACTCCCCATGTAAGTTTGAGCTTAAACGTGTCTGTATGATTTTGTCCAGAGTTTCCACTCCCCAAGTAAGTTTGAGCTTAAACGTGTCTGTATGATTTTGTCTAGAGACTCCACTCCCCATGTAAGTTTGAGCTGAAATGGGTCTGTATGATTTTGTCTACAGTCTCTGCTCCCCATGTAAGTTTGAGCTGAAATGTGTCTGTAGGATTTTGTCTAGAGTCTCCACTCCCCATTTAAGTTTGAGCTTAAACGTGTCTGTATGATTTTGTCCAGATTTTCCACTCCCCAAGTAAGTTTGAGCTTAAACGTGTCTGTATGATTTTGTCCAGAGTTTCCACTCCCCATGTAAGTTTGAGCTGAAATGTGCCTGTATGATTTTGTCTAGAGTCTCTGCTCCCCATGTAAGTTTGAGCTTAAATGTGTCTGTATGATTTTGTCTAAAGTCTAAGCTCCCCATGTAAGTATGAGCTTTAACGTGTCTGTGTGATTTCGTTTAGAGTCTCTGATCCTTCTTTAGTATGAAGTTATGCCTGTGTGTTTGTAGAGATCACAGTCTAACATGTAACTAAGCTACGCCATACTATAACATAGAGAGATGGCAGGTAACAACACTATCTTGGGCACAAAGCCATCTATAACCTAGGCTTTCATGATTATCATTTGTTATTCTTACAGTCAGAAGAAAGAAAAAAGAATAAAGTGTATGTGAGAAATCTCAATGATGCAGAATTCAAAGATTTTCTCAGGAAACTGGGTAAGTTTAAAGTTTGAAATGGTATAACTGACTTGATGTATTATCACATCCATCACCTTGTCTGTCTGCCTTTTTGTCTGTCTGTCTGTCTGTCTGTCTGTCTGTCTGTATCTCAGCCATACTCTTGATCCTGAGAAATGTCATTATTTGGACTAATTTGAAATTTGAGATGGCACCAGGGCTGAGAATTTTTCACTTTTTATCAGGTTCCAGCAGGGCAAATCTTACCAAATGGTTACAGTATCCATGTACTAGTAGCTTAAAAGTGCTGGTGTGTGACATATTTTCTTTATATCCTCCAAGAAATAAATATTTTCTTTATATCCACCAAGAAATAAGTTTGTAACCTTCTATAAATGTGATCCACATTGGGTACTTATTTGATCCCCGTTTCTTCTCCAAACATTAGGTGGAACTCCAGATGAAATTCTGAAAAGCGAGGAGCTCATGGCTCTGTTTCTACCTCCCTTGAGAGCAGACTACGAACTAGTAGACCAATTTGAGTAAGTGTAAATTATCTGCTATGCTTTCTGCAGCTTCCTTTTAGTTCCTGCCCTCTTCCTTTTCACAATTTCATTCCTTTCCTACATTTCAATCAAACACCTCCTCTAAATACCCTGCAAACTGCTTCTATCTTCCTTTCCAGCCATCCTGAAAACCTCCCATTAAGGCATACCTCTCCCTATTTTCTCTTATGGAACTCTATCCCAGCAATTGTACATCTACAACTCTCTCATTCCTGTCCTACAAATACCCTGCATTTCTCTCCAAATCTCCTCTTTTATTAGTTATCTGAAACTATCCCACCCTTGATCCACTAATACCTTTCTTCCTCTTCTAATAGCAAACACTCTGGCCCATTTTAAAATTCTCTTATTCTGGACCACTTGATATCATCCTAACTTTGCAATCTGATAAATTTCTTATTTTGGACAACTTGATACTATGCCTTTCCCTCCTTATATCTTCCTAGCCTGCCCATTCTAAAATTCTCAATTCTGGACCACTTGATACCATGTCTTAATTACCTCCAAATACTCTCCAATCCTGTATATCCTAAAATTCCCTTATTCTTGACCACCTGATACTATACCTTTCTCTTCTAATATCCACCAATCCTGCCCATCTTAAGATTCTTCGTTCTAGAACACTTGATACCATGCATTTCCCTAATATCCTCCTATTCTGCCAATCTTCTTTACCATCTGATACCATTCCTTTTCTTCCTAGTATCATCTTATTTCAGCCCGTCTTCCAGCTAAATTGTTCCTCTCATTTATTTACTCTTATATCTTCTATTCCAATATAATTACACTCACATCTGTTTCTAATTACCTGAATTAAAATCTTTTAATTCCTAAATACTATAAGGATAAAAGGGAATGTTTTGTGTCTAATAAAGTATCTTGGTTTTGCAGCTATGACCTTGTTGGAGATAAACCTCTGACCTGCCCAATAGATATAACAGATGGAGAGTATGATATCAAGCACAACCTAAAAGGTAGGCCTTCAAACTTAACACACAATATTGACCAACAAACGTTACCTACAAAATAGGCTACCAAACACAGTTTATAGTGTAGGCCAATAAACACAGGCTACAAGTAAGGCTATCAAACACAGCTTATAGTGTAGGTCAATAAACACAGGCTACAAGTAAGGCTATCAAACACAGCTTATAGTGTAGATCAATTAACACGGGCTACTAGTGAGGCTATCAAACACAGCTTATAGTGTAGGCCAATAAACACAGGCTACAAGTAAGGCTATAAAACACAGCTTACAGTGTAGGTCAATAAACACAGGCTACAAGGAAGGCTATCAAACACAGCTTATAGCGTAGGCCAAATAACACAGGCTACAAGGCTATCAAACACAGCTTAAAGTGGAGGTCAATAAACACAGGCTACAAGGAAGGCTATCAAACACAGCTTCTAGTGTAGGCCAATAAACACAGGCTACAAGTAAGTCTATCAAACACAGCTTATAGTGTAGGTCAATAAACACAAGCTACAAGTAAGGCTATCAAACACAGCTTACTGTGTAGGCCAATAAACACAGGCTACAAGTAAAGCTATCAAACACAGCTTATAGTGTAGGGCAATAAACACAGGCTACAAGTAAGGCCATCACACACAGCTTATAGAGTAGGCCAATAAACACAGGCTTCAAGTAAGGCTATCAAACACAGCTTACTGTGTAGGCCAATAAACACAGGCTAAAAGTAAGGCTATCAAACACAGCTCACAGTGTAGGTAAATAAACACAGGCTACAAGTAAGGCCATCAAACACAGCTTACAGTGTAGGCCAATAAACACAGGCTACTAGTGAGGCTATCAAACGCAGCTTATAGTGTAGGCCAATAACCACAGGCTACAAGTAAGGCTATCAAAGACAGCTTATAGTGTAGGCCAATAACCACAGGCTACAAGTAAGGCTATCAAACACAGCTTATAGTGTAGGCCAAATAACACAGGCTACAAGGCTATCAAACACAGCTTATAGTGTAGGTCAATAAACACAGGCTACAAGTAAGGCTATCAAACACAGCTTACAGTGTAGGTCAATAAACACAGACTACAAGTAAGGCTATCAAACACAGCTTACAGTGTAGGTCAATAAACACAGGCTACAAGTAAGGCTATCAAACACAGCTTATAGTGTAGGCCAATAAACACAGGCTACAAGTAAGGCTATCAAACACAGCTTAAAGTGTAGGCCAAATAACACAGGCTACAAGATAGGCTATCAAACACAGACTGCAAGGTAGCTCTTCATACAGACCATTGAACATAACCTTCATGGTAGGCTATCAAACACAGACTACAAAGTAGCTCTTCAAACAGACCATCATACTGAACCTATGTGGTAGGCTATCAAACACAGACTACAAGGTAGCTCTCCCAACATGGTCTTTAATATAGACCATCAAAATTAATCTACAAGATAGGTAGGCCAACAAAAACAACCTACAATGTTGGTGTAGTCGATTTCAAATTTAAACCTACCTCACTACATGCAAGTAATAGCTCGGAAATTACCCGAAAGAAGTTTTTGGTCTGTCAAAAACAATGAGATCCATCTAGTCATCCTAAGTTTGGGGTCAGGTTCTATGTTGCACTGACAACTTGTCAGGCCAATCCGCACCAGGACGTTTTTCTAGCTGTGTGGCAATAAAGTTTTGTTTTTTCCCAGGTGACATGGCTGATGTTTAAGTATTTAAGCGAAGCTTTTAATGTGTTCTTATGGCTTTTGCTTCCCTGGATGAATTAACCTCATTGGAGTTCGCAATATAACAGCTTCTTGGCAGCCGGCGACTGGCGTGTGAACCTCATGTCTTGCCAGCAAAGCTATGACACAAAAATGATGGTGGGTATGCTTGGCAACCTAGTACAGTTTAATATACTTATCAGGTTATAGGAATTGGTCTGCCCACTTTTCTGAGGCAGTTGGTATGGAAGTCGCTCAGTTGTTTCGCATGACGCTGATAGACCGTCCATGATGTGCAGCCATGCAGCAGAGAAGTGAAAACTATAGCTTTGATCCTTGTTTCTAAGCTGTTCCGCTACACCTGTTCTTGTGGAGTTTTCCAAAGGCAACACCCGTGTTCGACATTAACTTTTAAATTTGTATGACAACGTTTCTAGAAAGTGTGCTGTTATTTAAGGTAAACATGTCCACACAATTCAGTCGTTGCCCGTTGATGCTAATGTTGGGTTCAACGTATCTCTTTTCTAGATGTTTTATGCATCCATCTTTGTACTGATCTCGAGTCTCCAATAACCAATCAACACTGCATGTCTGCGTCGAAGGCACCATCGAGGACACAGCCATTAGCAAAGAAGAAGTCCCTGTCATAACTTTGGTTTTTGGTTTAAGCATTCTGAGGTTTAAGAGTGAGCCATCGAATACCGATGACTGTGTCTGGTGTTTTGAAAACATCAATCATCATGACAGAACACATTTAACTGCCGGGTTGAAGCAAGGACACAGCCCTGCTTCACTCCGTTTGAGACAGGAAATTAATCAGTTTCTTCATTGTCACAGACTCTTGCAAATATGTCATCATAAAGCTGTTGCAGAATCTCATTCTTTACGGACATCATACTTCGCCATGATTCTTCAATGGCAATATTTGCAAACAGGTTCCTTGGTCTGCTAGCCATGTGCAGGGTACATGTCACATTCTGTTTCTGATACTTCTATTGTAGCTGTCTAGCAGTAAACACCATATAGATAACCATGACTTTTCCCCAGAAGCCTTTATGATTCTCTTGTAAGAGACCATACTCAAGCTTCTAGTCGGATTCTTGCCTGCGACGGACAGGGTAGTTATAATATGTTGTTCGTTGCAGTCCTAGCGATTTTCTTTACGCTTGTAGATGTGTATGATGTAGACATATTTGCAGCCAAGCCATGCTGCCTTATGCTTCATTTGCTAGGTCAGAGCCGTACCACTTTCTTTGTAAACTGAAGCTCAGAAGAAGTAACAACCAGTTGCAGATTATGACTTTCTGTAACTGTTCTAAGTTGGTATGGCGCCTAGAGGGACGCCAATCGGAACTTGAGGTAGCGAACTAAGGGCTGTATCATAGACGGAAATACGGCGTTGGTCAGTCCATCTTTCGGCGTCACACCTGACATTCGTGACATGTACTTCCAGCCCGACCTTTTTTTCTGACGATGAAATTCGAGTGGAGCTAGGGTGCATTGTAGGGAAGCGGCAGATAGTGGTTGTAACTTGCTGCCATCTTCTGCACTGTTCTGGAGTAGAACACTGTTGCTATATCTCGGTGACGCTTTGGAATGATACAACCGTTCACGTCTTCATATAATATGTCACTGACTTCATCCGGAATCGTCTTGATGGGAGCATATAATCTGATACTGGTAATGAGTTCATGTACACGTGAAATGGAGTCTTTCCGTCGTACTGCAACCGTTCACTCGTTTAGTGGGGCCAGATAACTTGCCAAACAGTGTTAATTTTTTAAGAGCTCACCTGCATCGCACTCGATGTTGAGCCACTCCTGCCAACACACAAGACCATATCACACAAGCTACAATGCAGGTCTATCGACACAACACACAACAAAACCATCAAACACAATCTACAATGTACAATGTAGGTCAATTTACACAACAACCAACAAGGTTTTAAAACACAAGCTACAATTTAGGCCTGTAAACACAACATACGACATAGTCCATAAAGGTAGACTTTACAACAACATTTAACATAGGTAATAAATCCTACAAGGTAGGCAGTTATGAATCACAACCATATGTTACCATGTTGATTTCACTTTACCATTACAAGGGAAATAACTGCTGAAATATTAAATGATGAACTACTCTAACATTCGTTATATTCGCTTAACCCTTTCAACCCTATGTAACTTTAGTAGACTCTACCATGCATTGATATGGATGAGTCCATTATGGTCTACAGTGGTGAAAAGGTAAATTATGAAATGAAAGGGAAATAAAAGGTTTTCAACAATTACGACCCCAAAACTAAAAGAGATATATAGGAGTCCGGTTTCTGCGCCTCCCAAAATAATGGAGACTTCCAGAGACCTAGTTCTTCCAGGAGTCGTTCAGAATAGTCTCCAAAATAATGTAGTGGTTTTTCAATTATTATTATCAAACACCTATTTTCATTGTGAACACTATTGCTAGTATCGATTTTGACATTTCATATTGGTGATCTATCTGTTCTTTTTCTTTTCTTCAGCTTGGGCAGATTTGACCAAAGGAAAAGTGACCACTAAAATGTTACCCGGAGGTCATTTTTACCTGAAAGAGAAGGAGAACATGATGAGGATTCTGGAAAATATATCATCGTACTACTTTGAATAGCATAGGCATTATATACTTATACTTATGGAAGTGTAACACTGGGTATGGCTGGTATAAAAGGATGTATTGACAAGTTTGACATGCATATTGAAAATGTAAAATATGTTGAAGGTTGTACATGTAAAATTGTTATTACTGTATAAGGGTTTAAATGTTAATTAACATTGGGTCGTACATTTAGAATGGACATGGCGGGTATGACACGTTGGAAATGCTTACTGAATATGGCTGGAATTACGGGCTTACTTGCATATTGGACATGACATTATGTCGGAGGCTGTACAATTTATGTGACTGTATAATAATAGGTTCTACATGCTTACTGAACATCACTAGTGTGGCAGGTTGTACATTTAGATATTACCGGTATGATAGGTTGTTCGCGTATACTGGGAAAGTCTTGTATGATAGATGTTTATTTTGGAATTGACCAGAATGATTGGTTGTATTTATTGACCACAGTGAGCATTGCTAAAGCTTCCAATTCTCATTAATAAATATTTTTCATCAATTTGACTGAATTTTTGTTTATTTTATATGAGACCAGTCGGGTACGCCAACAAATTTGAAAAATGTTGATACAAACATAACATGTAGGTAAATATCATTGTGCTGTATTCGTCGTCCGTCATTTTTCTCTGTAGATAAACATAATTTATTTATTTCATCGTTACATGTTCTGATACAGACCTTAACGTACACCAATAACTAGGATGTCTCCCAGGTTTTTGTGTTTTCATTTCAGCTATGAAATACTGTTTGGTTTTGTAGTATTAGCTCAGTGGAAAGCTGTTTTCTGTTTTACCTAATCACCACTAGAAAGTCTGGAAGACTCGTTTAGAAACGGACATTAACTTACTCCTGCAATATCAGATGGATAAATCTGACAGCAGATACTATATCACCCTTACACATACTTGGTAGCATATTAACTCACTTCTAGAGCATTTGACAGACACGCATGAACAAGACATGAACTCATCTCTAGAACTTTTGATAGACACTTGGTACCAGATTCTGCCATAACCCTAGACCTTGTTTTATCTCGCACATGGTTACAGAACTGATGACCATAACATTTCTGCGGCACAGACCGAGACCGCATAGGTAGAAATCAAAGCCAACGTAGTTTATTTGTCATATTGTCATGTCTATATTCAGATAACCTTGAACAGACTATCCAATCAAATTACGGTTGAAAACATTCAACTTATATTAACAGATTTTTCTTTTCACATTGATGAATATCGAATCAAACTTTGGTAAAACCTCTTTTGTATCTAGGAAATTATCAAAATCCCTTATTTGACCAACTGTGAGGTGTAATATCTACATATTGTGTAATACTGAATATTAGAAAATTAAAAAGTTTCGCAAGAACAACTGCAGTAAAACAAATATTTGTCAAAAAAGATGCACCATAATCGATGTATTTGGGGGGGGGGGGGGGGGGGGGGGGGGGGGCGGACTGTTGATAGTTCAATTCCTTTGCAAAACAGTGATTCTTGTGCACGATGCACGATATTTTGGCACTTATTACGCTTTTAATTTCCTATTCTCAAATGTTACATTTAAGTGATAACTACCCTTCAAAGTTGATAAAACAAGTGATTTCTTAACCACAATGAAGGAGAACAATATTCCCCCCAAGGTTGTTTCTTTTGAGTTTATTATTCATCGCTGTGAACAAACATCAAATACATTATTTTGAAAATTAGTTTTATGTTTTGATAGGCCATATTTTCAGGTAAATAACTGGATTTATTATTTAATCAATTATTCATGAAAGAAAAAGAAACGTTTCTTCATGTGGGAGAATATTTATGAAACTCGTTATTAAAACTATTGATATGTCATATATGAAATAAAATAATTAAGTAAAATAATATGATATCGTTTCATAGATATCATTTGTAAAACAAATTTGTCAATCAATATTTTGCGGTTCTTCACTTTACAAAAACATGATATACCTTCCGTCATCTTTTTATCAGCTGAAAGTCTTCGTTAAGTTTGTACGCTGAAACACTCGGCCTAGGCACTATGCAATTACCAATAGTATTACTTCCTCTTCTACCTGCATAGCACGTGTCCACACAAACACCTGATTGAAACTCATTTGAAATCGTTGAAAGACAAGAAGCGAGATCCGATGACATTCAATAGCTTTATTATTTTTTTTCCGTTGTTCATTGTAGTTGATATTAGCATATTTTGGTAATAAAATTTCACAATTTGTAAACGTAACGTACCATTAGGTGAATATGATTATAAAATGCATTACGTCAATATATTAGAACAATATATTCATTATAAAATAAGTACATTTTAAAACAATACAATGTATATACATTATAAAATAAGTGTAATATGTGATAACAATATAAACATGCTTGAATAAGGTTGGACAATATATACAGTATATAATATGGAGAGATTTCGTCGATTCGTTATTAAACATTTAGAAATAATGGGTATAAGTGCTTGATGAAAACATTTAAAATTTCAAAGTGACCAATGACAGAAGTTGAAATTTAATATCGATGAAAATAAAACATTATGCTATGAAACGGATCCGTTTTGATTTAATAGTCATAACAGTTACACAGTGACGCCCGACAACAAAATATGTTGTTATACTTCTTATATATCAGAATACCGACAATACTGCTGGTACTTCACGGAATCTACATACAAGTAAACGAGAAAATTACCTATGTCATTACAGCTGGTATATCAGTGTCTACATCATCCATCACGGCTGGTCTATCAATGTCTACCTCAGCCATAACAGCTGGTATATCAGGGTTTATTTCAGCCATCACAGCTGGAATATCAGTGTTTATTTCAGCAATCACAGCTGGTATATCAGTTTCTACATCATCCATCCCGGCTGGTATATCAATGTATACATCAGACACAACAGCTGGGATATCAGTGTTTATTTCAGCCGTCACAGCTGGTATATCGGTGTCTACATCAGACAGAACAGCTGGTATATCAGGGTTTATTTCAGCCATCACAGATGGTATATCAGTGTTTGCATCAGACATAACAACTGGTATATCAATGTATACATCAGACACAAAAGCTGGTATATCAGTTTCTACATCATCCATCGCGGCTGGTATATCAATGTCTACATCAGACATAACAGCTGGTATATAAGTGTCTACATCAGACATAACAGCTGGTATATCAGTGTTTATTTCAGCCATCACAGCTGGTATATCATTGTATACATCAGACACAAAAGCTGGTATATCAGTGTTTACATCAGACATAACTGGTATATCAGTGTTTATTTCAGCCATCACAGATGGTATATCAGTGTTTATTTCAGACATCACAGCTGGTATATCAGTGTCTACATCAGACATAACAGCTGGGATATCAATGTCTACATCAGACATCACAGCTGTTATATCAGTGTCTACATCAGACATAATAGCTGGTATATCAGTGTCTACATCATCCATCACAGCTGGTATATCAGTGCTTATTTCAGCAATCACAGCTGGTATATCGGTGTTTATTTCAGCCATCACAGCAGGTATATCAATGTCTACATCAGACATCACAGCTGTTATATCAGTGTCTACATCAGACATCACAGCTGGTATATCAGTGTCTACATCAGCCATCACAGCTGGTATATCAGTGTCTACATCAGACATAATAGCTGGTATATCAGTGTCTACATCAGACATAACAGCTGGTATATCAGTGTCTACATCGGACATAATAGCTAGTATATCAGTGTCTACATCATACATAACAGCTGGTATATCAGTGTCTACATCAATGTCACCAAATCCAAAGTATTTCATGTCAACGACAAGTTCAAAAAGACCTCTGTCGTAGCAGATGGTACAAGACGATATCGTCATCTATGACAACAAGAACTCAAGTTTCTGCATGAATGGGATAACAAAACCTTCATTATACCAGCTGTTACAACACAATGTTTACATCAATGTCAACAAGACCTCATATATTCAATCGTCGTTACAGTTATGTCATCACAAGCTATACGTAATGATTGGACATTACAAGGTATAGTTTATGACAAAATAACGTACGACGTTACAGCTGGCACATTGTAATGTCTACATCAATGACAACAGGACATTCACCATTACAGTTGTTATAGTAGTGCCTTTATCAATGACAACAAGACATTCACCATTACAGTTGTTATAGTAGTGTCTACATCAATGACAACATGACCTCAGACATAACAACATGTACATCTCGGGGTTTATTTCAATAACGCCCAGACTATAGTTATTATAACTGTTTATCACAGTGCCAATACCTACATCAGTGACAACAGACCTCAGTTATTATATCTGGTGTATCACAGTGCCAATACCTACAGCAGTAACAATAGACCACAGTTATTATATCTGGTGTATCACAGTGCCTATACCTACATCAGTGACAACATACCACAGTTATTATATCTGGTGTATCACAGTGCCAATACCTACATCAGTGACAACAGACCATAGTTATTATATCTGGTGTATCACAGTGCCAATACCTACAGCAGTGACAACAGACCACAGTTATTATATCTGGTGTATTACAGTGCCAATACCTACATCAGTGACAACAGACCACAGTTATTATATCTGGTATATCACAGTGCCAATACCTACAGCAGTGACAACAGACCACAGTTATTATAGCTGGTGTATCACAGTGCCTATACCTACATCAGTGACAACAGACCACAGTTATTATATCTGTTGTATCACAGTGCCAATATCTACATCAGTGACAACAGACCACAGTTATTATAGCTGTTGTATCACAGTGCCAATACCTACATCACTGACAACAGCCCACAGTTATTATAGCTTGTGGATCACAGTGCCAATACCTACATCAGTTACAACAGCCCACAGTTATTATAGCTTGGGTATCACAGTGCCAATACCTACATCAGTTACAACAGCCCACAGTTATTATAGCTGGTGTATCACAGTACCTATACCTACATCAGTGACAACAGCCCCCAGTTATTATATCTGGTCTATCACAGTGCCAATACCTACATCAGTTACAACAGCCCACAGTTATTATAGCTGGTATATCACAGTGCCATTACCTACATCAGTGACAACAGCCCAGAGTTATTATAGCTTGTGTATCACAGTCCCAATACCTACAGCAGTGACAACAGCCCACAGTTATTATATCTGGTCTATCACAGTACCAATACCTACATCAGTGACAACAGACCATAGTTATTATAGCTGGTGTATCACGGTGCCTATACCTACATCAGTGACAACAGACCACAGTTATTATATCTGGTCTATCACAGTGCCAATACCTACAGCAGTGACAACAGCCCACAGGTATTATAGCTTGTGTATCACAGTGCCAATACCAACATCAGTGACAACAGCCCACAGTTACTATAGCTGGTGTATCACAGTGCCAATTCCTACATCAGTGACAACAGACCATAGTTATTATAGCTGGTGTATCACAGGGCCAATACCTACATCAGTGACAACAGCCCACAGTTATTATAGCTGATATATCACAAGACCTTCGTCATTATACATGTTACTGGTTTATCACAGTTCCCCTGCCTGCATCAGTGACAACTAACTACCAACAGGGTTCAACAATTATACGGCTGCAATTAGTCAATGTGCTCAAAATATAATCTGTATGATACAGTTCAACATAGTCTTTGTCACAATAACCAAGGATCGTAAAAGATATTACACTATAAATAGAAGGTCGTATCTGGTCATAAGTATGTGTAACATGGTTGGATCTGTGCATCTGACCATGGGTAGACGTTCTGGAAGTTTTCCTGAAGTGAAGCACTACTACAAAACGCCTGAGGAAATGTTGGTAAAGGAGTCGTGTCACATGGAGTCCCGTTGCTACCAGAAAATGTCTGTCCTGGGAATGTCTGTTCGATAAAGAGTCTGTCCTCAAGGGACTGGCTGTCCGTTACATCCCCTATTCTGCTATCACCAATAGGAATTAACGGATTTTGAGCGGATGTATATCCGTCTGCAAACATTGATGAGTTTTGAAAGTTTCCAGTTTGTTGTGAAAGAAAGTTTGCGATCCAATCTGAACTCTGGCCGGGAATTCCCGGTGACACTGACGCACTACTGGACATACCGTCGGAGCTGTCAGAGAATGAACGAGGACTACAGTTATCGAGGCTGTGGTCACAACGAGGCATGGAGAAATTGTCCCGAATGGAGTCAGTCCATGGTCCGGCGAGGAGTTCCTGTAGCTCGGTTTGTCCGAGTATTGAATCCAGCGTGTCAGCCGGAAATTCATGATTTGTCACGTCTGAGCATAACTGTAAGTCTGTATGTGTGTTCTCTGTGGCCTGTAAGACTTGGTCAGGATCTATTCCCTCTAAACTAGACGCGGGTTCAATAAAAAATGATGGAGGCAAGTTGCGTTTTCGTAGCGGAACTTTAGTAGTTGAAGTAGGTTTTGTCGTTTGGTCGGTACAACACTTTTCGTGTAATGTTTTAGGGTCAAACAATGCCTGGAGGGACTTGATCTGTAGTCCTATTTGCGTTGTTTCCTTTCGCGAGCATTTCGTTTGGCCTCCATTACACAATGCGCCCTGTATGTCGACTTGCCTGCCCTCTGAGTGAGAAGTAGATGAGTTTCCGCACCGCTTTAGCTGCTTTTGTAAATATTTTCTGTGGTTCACTTTTCTTTTTGACCGGGAAGGTTTGTCCAAAGCAAGTTTGATGTTGCTAGACGCCATGTCCACAAAACTGAGTAAGTTCGAAGTTTCGGAATCGTGAGGTCGTGAGCTAACTGCATTCCTTGGCTCCCCCACTTCCGGTAAGAAAGGCAGAGACATTACGCTAGTCATTTTGAGTTTACACTGAAGCTCACAGGTTTAAAATACTATATCATATGAGCGTGTCCAAATTCCATACTACAACACACACTTGTACCAAACAGTAAGTTTCGTTGATATCAAACGTCATCGAACTTCAATATAAATTTAAGATGAATTGTGTCTCAAACACATTGCCTGGGCTTCTGACTGCTGGAGAGACTCAAGTCCTTCGAAGCATAACGAGGCACGACCACGTCCAATCGTCCTGGATGTTCACACATCACATCATTGTCTCACCAGTTTACAAGTAAAACAATGTCAACCAAATTGTCAAATACAAATCTCATATCCATGCACGGTAGCGGTAAGGTTTAACTACCCGTCAATTCAATGTGCTGCTGTGAGGTACACAATACGCCGCCATGTTGCTGTATATCCGTTAAAGAATTTCGATGGGAACACGAATCAATGTGGATATTTACCTGGGTTTAGGCGGTGTTTAGTGCTGCATTCATGAGCACACGTTTGTCGACTGAGGTGTTCATTTGGTGTACCGCGACTTAATCCCTGTCACTGCTCTGACGCGCTCTTCATTAACGACCGCCACATCCCCAGCTCCTCCGTCAGGGAGGGGCCTCTAGGGGTACATCAAGTCCGATCTAGAACAATACCAATATCAATAAACAAAATACCATATTAGATGAACAAAGAATTGCTTCAATATAGACATACAATTTTTCTAAAAAGAGGTTCTTTGGTAGAAGGTCGAAGTAAAGTGAGATACACATTCGATTGTCCAAACATTATAGATATGTTTTAGCATAACTATTGAGAATACTTATAACTTTTTTCTCGCACTGGTTTATTCAAGAATAAATGATACCATTGTATACAATTCCAGTCGTTCCCCTTGTGAGGCCCCGTATGATGATGAGCGTATCGCAAGCGACCCTCCCCGTCCTTACCTTTCAGGTTTTACGGTCCATGGCAGTACCTGAATGGCTAGAGCTAGCACTAGGACAAAACTCATATAAAGTGTTGACTCGTTGTTCTCCCGTACAGGTGCGTCTTTACCTTGCGAGATGTTCACCTCATAAAACTCTCCAATTTATCAGGCTTAAAAATCGTTTAAACCTTCGTGTCTTATAGTGTCTCCTGCTGTATTCACAGGCTCAGTCAATATGTCTATTTGTTGGTCTTTGGGAAAACTTTTAGAATAGGATAATTAATTCAGTTATATTTTTCAGCCTTCCCTTTGAATTAAACACTCGTCATTGACTCGATCGTCAGTTTACAGTCAACGTCGAGGAAGTGTTCACTATAGATATACAAAGGACAGCGGTAAGGCAGCTTAGACTATTTCTGGAATAAACGCATCATTTGGTTGTTTTAGGAGCGTCTCTCCATGAATATTTGTAAAAAGAGAATGACAAATCCCGTGTTACTTTCACCTGTTTTATTATGTTCTGTTTATCCAGCATTTTCTCGTCTGTATCCTGCCGGTATCATGAGTGAACAAGCAACACCTGGAACTAAGCAGAAAACTAATGTAAGGGTATAAAACTATTATAAATATTTTACCCAAAAAGGACATTTCATTTTATTGAGAACTATATCTTAGACGATAGACACATTGCCAAAGATTTGTGGTCCTGGTATAGGAATACAATAGTCATTTAAATGATTTAATGTTAACAAAGTCCTGATTTAACGAGACATTGACATCGTTTGTGAAGAACAAAAATCGCATGTAGAGAGACAATTGAAATATGAAATGAGATTTAAGTGGTTAACGATACCAACGTCTTGATAAAGCGAAACAATATGATGATTAAGCGAAAGGCAAAACTCTATAATTTGGAGGCATTGAAATTCTTTATTGAGAGGTCCTGATTAAGGGTGAAATAAGCTTGCTTACAGAGGAACAGGGTACTGATATCGAGAGGCATTGAAATCAGTAAGTGATAGAAACAAAGTCGTGATGCAAAGGGATAAACAAAATCTTGATGTAAATAGCATTGTTAATGGTCAAGTGAAAAAAATTGAATTGTTTTTATGGTAACAGGTTCCTGATGTAGAGTGACACAGATATGTTAAACTGAGAAACCAAGCACTGGTGCAGAGAAAGAAACCAAGCCCTGGTGCAGAGAAAGAAACCAAGCCCTGGTCAGAGAATCATGTTAATGGTTGACAGAAAAACGAAGTCCTCGTGAAAATTATAACTAGAAAATACGAAGAAATTAAGCACAACTATGAAAAACAATTGTAGATGCAGAAAAACAAACAAGGCCCTTTTTTATTGCACCAATTTACCCATTCATAACCCATCTGTGTTACTAAAGGTCTAAGTTGTCTTACCTGATCTTAAACATATGTAGAAAACAGCGAAAATATAAGGGTACCCATAAAACCCCTTATAACGTTACAAATTTACACTTTTGACAACAAGATATAATTTATGATGAGTTGTAAACATTGGACTAGTATTAAACGTAAATCCTATCAGAATAAAGCTGCAAGAGTCAGGATGTAGATAATGACATTGAGATAGTTTTTTGAAAACAAATTCCTGATGTACTGGGACATTGAAGTTATTAAGGGGGAAAAACTCAGATGTATTGAGAGAGCGAGATAGTTTTATAAGGAAACAAAGTATTTATAAACAGAGATATGAAAATGTGAAGTCAGAAACAGAGACATTATTTTGTGCATTGAACTAGTTAATAAAGTAAGTCCTCATGTCTAGCGACATTGGAACCAGTGAAAAACCAAAGATTTTGTTTATGAAGATAATTTACAGAAAAAAGGTCTTGGTGTGTAAGAAACATCGGAAGTGCTTAGTGAGAAACAACGTACAGAGGAGGAGACAATGGACTCGTTTAGTGGAAAAACTGAAGTCTTGATGAAGAAAGACCTTGACACTGTTCAGAGAGAAACAGCGTCCTGATTGAGACACAAGACATCTTTAATTGATATTTAGTGCGACTTTTAAAATGATAGGAAAGAAGCAAAATTCTAACGCATGGAGAGGCTGAATTTATTTGGTGAAAACGTTGTCCTAATGTAGGGAGAAATTGAAACCGTTTGATAAGTATGAAGTCCAAAAATAGTTTAACAGCTGAGTGAGAAACAAGGTCCTTATGTATGACAATCAGGGCTCTAATTTCGGGAACTCTTAGATTCTTTATAGAACGGCTGTCTGTTCTCTTATATTAATCTTTGTCTATTCAAGCATTAATTTTCGACTGACGGATCGCCTATCATGTTGTCCGTCCTCTGGTACTGTTAATATGTCGGTGGCACTGACCCTTCTTTCTCCGTTTAACCTCGTATAGGGTTCTGTCTTTCTCCATTGAACGTATTAACATGTTTAGTTCCCGACGCCTCGGTACCATTGTCTATTTTTACCTACAGGTCGATAAAACCAACTTTAAGTATCCTGAATCACTGCTTAAAAATTTAAACACCGAGTAAAATGGCCGTTTATACAATTTTGTATCAAATGATGTAGCCCGAACTTCCCACACTCTTCAATAATCTTACGTTAAATACGATTTAATCCCGCGCCGACCATAACAGGTAGCCGCGCACCAGTAGACGGTAAGTGGCGGGTGTTGTGTATAGATGGTTTTAAATATAATGGAAAAGTTATGTTTATTTGAATGAAATGGTCATTTTATGTTTTATGAATCACGTATACGGCCGAAGTATAAAAAACACGCACCGACTTGACGCAACTAAATTCAATTACACCTGTAAAAATCTACTGCGCATGTCCGATCTACATTTACCCGTCGTAAAAAGAGCGCTCTAAAAAGAGACATAAATGTGTTATTCCCCCATGTGGTAGTGTGAATGGCCTAGAGTGGGAGACCTCCGCCCGGTTTAATCCCCAGGTTAGTATGATACCCGTGAAACAATTTATGGGTCCGAGGGGGTCACTAACGTGAACAGACAAGCAGGACGGGGTGACGGGCGTGAGAATACAATAGGTCATCTTCTCGTCCGGACGGGCGTCCGTCCGTCCGTCATTTTTCTAACATTCATACCAGCGATTAGCACATAACGCACAATTAATAAGTCGAATGCCTTAGTCAAGTGGTATCATTTGTGGGAGTTAGTGAGGCATGGACTGTCAAATATTGCAAAATTAGTTTTGAGTAAAAAAAAAACACGAATTAAAATTTTATTTTAATCAAATTTAATTCAAAATATACATGTAATCTCTTCTAAAATCATGTTCAGCAACAAATCAGAACCGATCATGAAAAAGAAATACCCATGCGTTAATGAATGAATCCAAACAACTAAAGTTTGTGAACTCAAATGAATGGGGTTATTTAAAATAAAATTGTCAGTCTTTGAATTCAAATGTTATTTGTAAAATCAAATACATGTTTTAGAATTTCAAAGTATTTTTGCTTATTTCAAAAGTATTTTGTAAATTAAATAGATCTTAATAAGATCCAAAGATATTAATACATACAAAATTACCATATGCATCGTTTGTCATGCCATAGTGAGCACTGTATGACTTTGTGCCTTACTTTTTAATAAGAAAGCACTATAAAGTCAACAATTACGTCCTTTACCTGTCTTAGAATTCTAACGGGGACTAATGGTACTGAAGTGGGCAGAACGAGGCCTAGTGGATAGAAGGTTACTAAAAGGTTACTAAACTTGCAGTATCTTCAACCAGTTGAAGGAGGCAAATGCAAATACAAGGAAGAAGACACTCAGTGTGTAAGGATGAACGCAAGACACACACGTGTCAGCACTGTAAACATTTATAATTGATACAGTATGCCAGGAATGAATGACGCTGCATCATACTGCTGTTTCGTGTCCTCTATGACTCATCGGTTACGTTATTTACTTATGCCCCCATTTCACTAGGCTACGACAGGCGGCGTCGGTGTCGGTTAGCCACCATCCGACAGCATCCGACAGGAACGTAGATTGACCGAATATCAACCAAGCACTGGCCGAAGGGTGACGTCGAGAAACCCCAACTGACGCAGAGTGACCGAGAGAACATTTTC